GTTTATAGTTAGCGCTTTAGCTCTTAAATTATTTTGATATTGTTTTTGGCGTATCTAGATACATATTGTATTTGAGTTTTAATTAATTTCCTAACATGAAACAGTTAGTGGTGGCAAGCACAGTGATCCGTCCTTGTATATAAGTATATTACATAATAACTTATTAGTACAACTTAAATAAATCGTAACGTAATTATTTTACTTACCTAATTTCGCTTTATCCAATGGACAGTTTTCCATTTAATTTTGTAAATTTTTAAAATTTTTGAATAGTTTAATATTATAAACACATGCATTACTATAGGCAACAAACATAATTTGTACATTAATTCTACTTTTTTTTTGTTATCTTAGTACTCATAATTTTATGATTACTGATTTTAGTATAAATGTTCCTTAAAACCAAAAAACTACCATTTAACTATACTTTAATAATAATATAATATAAAGTTTGGACAAATATAAATAAAAAGTGAAACATGGTTAGGAACACTTGAATTTGAATTAGTTTATGAATTATGATAGTAATCATTGTATTATCAATAACATTTTATTATTGAAAAAAATTAAAATACGGATGAATAAACGAACCTATCAAAATGGAAGGCAAACTGATGAATAGGATATTGGTGAAAGAAGAGCTCCTGATTCATCTAAGATCAATCTCAAATTATTCAAAGTCAAAATTTCAAAATAAGTCAAGGATACGTGGAAATTTTATTTTTGTCTCCGTCTTAAAAACTGTACATTATGACAAATTTTTATTTTTGTAAGATGAAGACTGTACTCAAATCAAATTGTTCTCCGAATAAAAAAAAAAAACAAATCATATTTTAATTATGGCTATAATTAACATTTATAAATTAAAATTTTTGATGAATTTTAAATGTATTATTTCGGCGATGTTCAAAATCAATAAAAAAATCTGTTCGGGATAAATCTTTTCTGTTTCACATGAAAAATAAAAATAACCAAAATCTGGCGGCGCGTGATTGTTTTCCCAGCAAATTCTTTTTTGACCGTTGAAATCGTTTGGACTTTATCTTTTGTGTCACTTTCGTACAGCGTAACTAGAAATTATCTGAATTTATGTAATATTCTTTACAATTTCAGCACCCATGTGCGTATATTATCGTGTGGATAGTGTTGTTGCGAAATCGGATTGAAATAATGTTAGATTTTTGTCAAAAAATGGATGTAGTACACGCGAAAAAGTGACCAATCGGTTATTATATTAGAATTGTGCAGTACTGCGCGGCCGCTACGCTGCGGCTGCGGCTGCGGCGGCGGCGGTGGCGGTCGTGTCGGTGGCAGTCGTGTCGGTGGCGGTCGTGTCGGTCGTTTTGTCGTCCGACGCGGTTTCGTTGGCGGCGGGCGGCATCAGGAACGACTCGGACTCCGGATGGTAGTTGTCCAGGTGCGAGCCAATCGCGTTCAGCATCTGCTGCCGATTTTTGATGTTGTGTTCCGCGTTCTGGCGGTACGTGGTGGCCAGACCGGTGGCGAGCGTGGCCGCGCCGGAAGTAATGTCACGCACCAGCACCACGCTGCCGGCCGCGTTGTTCACCGAACTTATCCCGGCCGCCATCGTCTCGCCAGTGGCCGCAGTCGTGGAGACGACGCCGTCGTACGAACCAAACAACACGTTCATCACGGCCATCGTGACGTGACCTATCGCCTTCAGCATCATTCCGGCGCCCTTGCCAAAGTCCGTTATGGATTTGTATAGTTCCGTTTTGCACTTGCACAAAGTCGACGGACTGTCGTCGGTGGCGGCAGCGGTGGTCGCGTCGGTGGTCGCATCGGTGGTCGCGTCGGTGGTCGCGTCGGTGGTCGCGTCGGTGGTCGCGTCGGTGGTCGTCGCGTCGGAGGTCGTGTCGGCGGCAACGGAGGTCGCGTCCGCGGCCGGTGGCGCAGGGTCGTCCGCCGAACAACGATCAACCTGCAACGTAGAAGTAAAATTATACTTTTCGGAAAAGCACCGTCCCGGTGTAAACGAGACTAGGGGTCGGTTTTCGAGCTCTATCGAATTGCAAACTTTCGGACACCTCGGTGACTTCGAAAGAAAATTTGTTTTCAAACATTTTATATATATATAATATATATTTTAAACAGATTGAATCGATCGAGTACGATACCCTGTAGGTTATTATTTATTATCGTTGCGGTGTATGACGAACAATCGTTATTTATTTATCTCTAGAATATAGTGCTTCGATACTTTTATAAACTTTAAATTTGAAATTACATTTTTAAAAGTTCTATAACGAGCCAATTTAAAGTTCGAAAAGTTAAAGAAATCATTTTCAACAAAATCAGATATTATGTAATATCTAGAATTAATACTATAACGATACATGAAAAGTACTAAGTAATCACAATTTATAAACCAACTACTTATTCACATTTATAGTATTGGGTTTTTCTTATGAATTATTCATTTATCAAATCGTTAAAAAATAAATTGTTTTTATAAGTAATGAATTGTAAATATATTTAAAAATCAAGAATCTAACGTCCCGATGATTGTATTCTTAGAATTTGCATCAAGAAAATTAATTATAATTATTGATAATATTCATTTAGACAATTATGTATTTATGTATTTATTGTACTAGGTTTTCTTCAAATTTATTATTCTATATAATATTTCGGATTTCTTTTTTTTTCTTTTTTAAAGATGGAGTTTTTACTTAGTGTTCTTAATTTATCATGTTAATCAAAAACATAAAGACATTTTATAATTTAAGTTGTTAAATATAGTCGTATCTATGATTAGTTGTAATATTTTATTTTGTTTTTAGTTGAAGATTTGAAATCGATTTTAAATAATTGTGAGCATTGACGCTTTAAGTGGTAAACTAAAATCACGAAAATGTTTTAAATAAAAAATTGAATAATATTTTAAATTTAATTAAAATTGAAAAAATAATTAAATCGATATTGTATATAATATATATAAAAAAAAAAATTAAATTAAAAAAAAATACAATATTTAAAAATCAATTAGTTATTAAAATTGAAATCAGATGAAACTAATATCAAATATTTACTAATTTAGAATCAGCACCCAAATAATAATTTAGATCACGGATAAGGAATTTTAATATTCAAGCATAATAATAAAATATACCCATTTTAATTACAATAACTGAAATATAATATAATATATTTTTAAAAAAGGAAATTACTTTGATCGTGGCTTAATTTCATATTTTAATAAAAAAATTCTAAAAATATCTAAAAATATTTTAATTGATTTGCATTGGAGTTATATTTCACAGATATTGTTCTATATTATTTAAAGTGATTGCTATTAAATAGTATTCATATAATTTGAATTTTGTTTCTCAGAGATTCCTTTGGGAATAACGGAACAGAGGACTGAAAACAGAACTGTCCCGTTTAAAACAATACGTTTATGGTACAATTAAAATATTTGAAAATTTATTTTTATATTTTTGAATGAAAACTTTATTCAGTACCTATTCTTATATAGTAAAATGACCATATACGTACTGTTATTAAACAATTCTGTCTCCTATTTATCTCTACCATCTACAAAATGTTGGTTGCATCGTAGATCTTCAAATTAATTTGTCGACATTGTGGTCTCATTTCTTATTCTTTTTTCCGTAAACTTATTCCAAATAGTCATATCATGACTCATATGCTTTAATTTATAATGTCTACACATGTGTAAATATACTTTCTCGTCTTTGAATACGATTGAACTAGCACTTCTGTGGTCTTTTGCTTTACATTTATTAATAGAATTTAGATTTTAAATTGATATAACGCGACTATTGAGTGTCTAAACCAAAATTATCGGCGAACCTAATTTCGTTGAAATCAAATAGGTAAACTTAATCGATAAATTTTTGTTGCGCCATTATAACTAGCTAAGAGATATTAAACATAGAATAATACAGAACACATAACTTTTTTATAGATACAATGTACTGTTTTTTATTTAACTACACAAGGATATAACACACAGCTCTTTATTTTTTTATTAATAAAATGTCATACATAATAGTTTATTTAATTTTTAGTTAGTATAATAAAATATTATTTTATACAAGTCCAATAATATACAAATGTACAATTATACAAGTATTTGAGTGTGTCTTATATTAGTAGAAGTATAACTAATATGATTAAAGATTAAACATGTGTTTTAATATTATATGATTAGTAATTAATTATTAGTAATGTATACAGAACTACTATTATCATATAATAAAAATAATATACACTATTATTTCGTACATTATAATATAATACCTTACTTTTCTCTGTTGTAAAATATAATACAATATACCTACTAATGTACTATTGCAGTGGTTCTCAAACATTTTTGTTCACACAGCTCTCAGGTTTCTAAAATAATATGTAAGGGCCTTTAAAAATCAGGAAATAATAAAAATAGTAATAATAATAATAATAATAATAATAATAATAATAATAATAACAATAATAACTAATATTATTTATACTCATTAGTGCAACAAGGAAATAATATTGAATTCGGATGTGTCCATGGATATTCAGATGCTCTCACAGAACTCAAAGGCTCCACGGAGTACATTTAAAAAAACCTCTGTACTATTTTATTAGGTAACTATTATACAGTATATTCACTAGGCATTAGATTTTATTGAACAAATTATAAATTCAATAATATATTCAATAGCTTATTATATAAAGTTTAAACATCCAAGGATTAACAATAAAATGTTAGTATATAATATAATAATTTAATTTGGCAATGAATTATAATTTTGATCATAATTATATTATTTTTGTTATTTCACTAGTCTAATTTAAAATTTACAAAAAATGTATGTAATGTGTATTAGATGTTATTCGAAAATATTGGTGTTGGCGTTAATAGATCTGATAAGAACTATTGTTTATAACGCTAATAATATGTTTTATACGCATAGAATGTAGAAACAGTAAAAGTTAAGTAATTATTTCCATTATACGATGCGATCCATATAAATTTTAATACATATTATAATTAATACTTGGGTAAATTTTCAAACTGTAGATGTGACACGGCAAAACATCATACTATTGTAGTATAAGTTGTGATTTGTAAGCTAAGGACAATTTATATTCGTGTATGGGTATTTTTTTATTAAACGTCTACTCTGTTTATATTGGATACACGCTTATTTATTATTGCTGGTCGTAAACACAATTTAAAGACGATAAAAATATCCGTGCTTTCTCAATGGTCTTTATTTAAAACAATAAAAATGTATAATTGTATACTTAATATTATTCGGTTATAAATTAAATTATTGAAAAAAGAGCAAAGGGACTAACGTTATCGCGTATAGGTGGATGTAAATTAATTTCAAAATAAAAGTGACGATTTGAAATCGAAACGTAATAGCTTTGTAGTGATAAAATTTGTTTTTTAGTGGTGTAGAGGTGGAAGTGGGTGAGGAGACCGAGTATCCAAATTTAATTTTTCGAATATTTAAGCGTGTCAAAATCCCTCTTTCTGTTTTCGAGTGAAGCGTTTTGGGCGGTGCATTGTTTTGGCTATCTAATAATACAGGAATGCAGGAAAACGACACTTCTTTCGTAGTTTCTCAAAAGAATTTCAAAATATCTCTTCCGTCGATATTAGTTTGTGTGATCAGACAAATGAAGGTATTTAATAATATTGACATTTTAATAAAACCGTTTTGTTAAAACTCTGTCGAAGAATCGCATTATTGTGAAAAACATTAATATTATTACAACAGACAAAGGCGGTATTACAAGGCTGGCAAACGTGCGGACGAACTCGATCTCGCGATGACAACAACAGTAATATTATTTCGTCAGGACATCGTCCTATAATTTTGTCTTCCAAGTCGAGCTCCGGAGTCGGGTGGATGTGTCGTGCACGAGGAAGTCAGCGGCCGACTGACGTCTACAGCATCCGTGACGCATGCGCGTGTGCAGCAGCGTACGCGTTCGCAGGACGCTATTGCTATTGACTATGTGTTGAGACGTGCGTTTGGTCCGCGTCGGTGGCGCTAATCGCGCGGAAAGAACGCGGCCGGACGTCGCGGATCAGTGGCCGTGGCCGCCGGGCCGACGGCCGGCCGCAGACGCGCGCCGCTCTCGTTCAGCTTGGCGTTGAGCGTGGCCAACGCCTGACTCCGGACCAGCGTGTCGTGGGCCGCGTTCTTGGCGGCCGCGTCCACCGCGACGCTGACCGCCTCGTTGACGCCGGTCGCGCCGAACCCGATCACCGGGACGTGGGCCAGCCGTCCGGCGATCGAGCTGCACGCCGCGGCGCCGGCCCTCAGCAGCCGGACGGACGCTTGCAGGGTCGCGTCCCACACGTAGTTGACCGTCTCGCCCGCGGACAGCAGCATCTTGCCGGTGCTCCACAGCACTTTGTCCGACACGCGCGCCGTGTCCCGCAACAGCGATGCGGCCGCTCGGCGCGCGGCGTCTAGAAACTGGACGGGCGACGTGGACGAATTGATGGCCGGCGGCGGCGGGATCGGTTGCGTCCCGAGGAATTCCTGTTTGCCCACCGGCGTTGCACTGACGACCTTGATAAAACAGACAAATAAAACTAAACGCCACAGAACGCGCACGGCATCGCGAACACGTCTTATACAATAATATTAATAATAATAATAATAATGTATAATGGCAATAATTTTTGTCGAATCTGCGTTGTCGGTACTCAGCTAAAACGGTAAGACTGCGAGAAAACGTCAGGTCCGCAGTCACACCACAGAACGCGAGTTCAGTTTAAATACATAAAAAAAAAATAAAAAAAAAAATAACCGCCGTATAATAATATACGAATTTATTGTTAATTAAACGTAAATCGATATTTGGTTATCATTATATTATACGAACATAAAGTCAAAGCTAATCATCAGTGGTCGAATTGTCTTTTATAAAACAAACGAGCAGCGAATATTGTAGCTACAAATCACTTGTAAGTATATGCGTATGTGTGTGTGTGTGTGTGTGTGTGTGTGAACTGTGGTTTCATGTCCGTGAAATAAAATATTTCACATTCATTATAATATTATAATAACAATACAAGTTTGAAACAACGTTATAGGGAGATAAATTCAAAAAATAAACAATTGCTTCTTAGTTTTTGCAAAAGATATATTTGTAAGAAAGTAGAAACAAAACGTGGGTTTAATCAACTGTAAATAATGTTCAGCATTACGCAATTAAAAATACATAAATGCTAGTAAAACAAAATCGATTTTTAATCTTTTAGAAATATCTTACTATATTAAAAAATAAAATTACCTATATTAAATTTTTATCACAAAATATTTTTATATAAAACACAATAAATAATAAATTTATTAATAACAATTAATGAGTTAATTAACTATTTTTGATTTTATAATAAATACAGTTAGATGTGAAATAAAAATAAGCACCAGTTGTCATTTGAGCATCGCTATTGTTGATTTTGACCTTTTTTGTAAGACAGTTGCGCATCGTTAGATTTTTGGGTTATAGACCATTAGCAAATATATGCTTTACGAAACATACGAGACGTGAACATTATATTATTATAATGTAATTTTAACTTTTGGGTTTTGACTTTTTGAGTACATGTAAGAATGAGTCAATTAAAATTTGTTAATTAAAATCGTGGAAAAGCTGGAATAATTTTCCAAAAGTATTTTTATACGGAAAGAAAAACACTGAAAACTTGTGAGATCATATTTATGTGCTCGAAATTTTATTATTTTCAATTAATTTTTACTCGAACTAAAGTATATTTGTATTTTTAACTATAAATGTAATGTGCCAACAAAAGTGTTCATTTCAATATGTGCATTATTCATATGATTATAACTACAATTTAATTTATTTTTATTCATTTGTATCTATTTTTTAAAAGAAAAGGGATTTGTTTTTTTTTTTTTTTTTTTGATTAAAATGAATGGGATGGAATATGAAAATTTCAACAAAAAAAAGTGGAAGGAAATCTTTACCAGTGACCACTTCAATCACTTATAGACTATAGTTTATTATAGCATAGTATATTATCATATAAAATAAATTATTGCAATCGATTTTACTACACCAATAAACAGTTTACAAATTTCATTAAAAACGATAGAACTGAGAGGAAAAGCAAATCTTCTATTATTAATCGAATGTTTTTTTATTAAATTTTGAACTGTTATTATGTGTTATCCAAATGGTAATATTTGTACAAACATTTTTGAATTTATTTTTGCACCCGTTGAACGCTGTAAATCTATTCCATAAATTAAAAAAAACCACAGAGCTTGAACTCAAGCTCTATCTAGTGGTGACAACAATATTGTCTTATAGTTAGTAGCTACAGATAGAGTGCTATACTAAATACAGTTTGAATAAATTCGACAACCTAACTTTTATGTTTTTACTTACTACTTACTACTTATGACTTGAACATAATAATTTATACTTCAGAATAATATCATATGAATAATATAATTATATTATTTTTATGCACTTTGTAGGATTCTATTTGAAATAGATTACATCGTGGCTTTTTTTAGCGTAGCTAAGCCAATTTCGATATAGAAAATAAATACAAAAAAATAATAGAGAATGGTTGTTAAATCATAGTTTGTCGTTTGATTAATAGTAATAAAAAAACGATATCAATAATCGACAATAAACAATTAGATAGTATTAAGGGGTATATCACTAATAAATTTAGTAATTTTTTTTTGCATTTTTAAGCGATTCAAGATAATATATATTAGGTACCTATGTCCTATGTAATATATTATTAGTGATACGTGTTAAGTTTTTAATTTTTCGTTATTACATAAACAGCTTATAATTAAAACGGATATAATACAAAATTATGAATTTAAAGCTCATTAAATTTAGTAAAGTCTGAGGTTTAAATAAAATATTAAACAAATAATTTATTTAAGTCTTGTTTAAATAAATAATTGTAATTTTTCTTTTAACTCATAAGTTACAACGATGATAATTATTTCGTTGAACATAAATACATAATATATAAAATAGAACTAAATAAATACATAATTCTACTTTCATTCATTTCAATCATTAATCACAAAACATGTTTTGATTTTTAACAATAAACGTATTATAAATGATATGGACATTCATGTACTTATAAAAGAGATTTGTTGGTTATGTTTTTACTAGGACCATATGTAGAATTAAACTTATTTTTCTCCAAAAAAAATCAATCACTGAATAACATAATAGAACATTTTTCTAAATATTATAATATTTAAAATTGTATTTAGTTAATAGGATTTAATTTATAAAACAATGGTATTCTTGAAATCGATAATTATAATATATAAGATGTAATGATAATTGGAACTGATTAGAACTAATTAATTTTGGTAAGCCAGACAAACCAATGGAAATGAATTATTAAACATCCAAAGTATATTAAAATTATTTAAGTCAAGATAATATATATAATATATTAATTTTGAAAAAACTTCAATTTCAGAAAAATATACAACCATAACTCAAATAATAGACAACTCTCACATCATATTATCTTTGTGATTAAAATTAATATGTATACTATTTTATGCTGTAAGATACGAAAATAAACACTTACATTTTACTATTGCATTAATTTATTTTAATGGCCATATCATATAACTTTTGTACGAGATTCTACGTCAATAATGTTTTCTCGAAGAAGAAATTTATGTTTACTGAAGTTGAAAACTTACAATGAGTATGAAAGTTAATAAGTCGGGAATAATAAATTATAACCATAACGTCGGGCTTATAATAAGTGCTATAAAATTAAGTATTTAATTATTTTTTTTTTAAGATTAAAAAAAGCTATTGACAAAATAATTACTAATTCAATATTAATAAAATCTATAATTTGATTATTTATAGGATTTCAACATTATCAAGAATTAATGTAGTTATACTTTTTAAAAATGTATTTATTTGCAAATTTTCTAACATCTTAAAATTATAGATAAGTTGTTTATACTCGTAAAAGCTTAAGAGATAATAATATCGATCAATTAATACTTTTGTGTCGTTGAACTAATTTTTTATTTAAATTAAGTTTTAAATCTAATAAATAATGTTATAAATACAAATAATACATACTTGTACGATGTACGCCACCAACAAGATGATCATTACAGATCGATTAGAACCAGCAGGATAATACATCTGAACTTGTGATTTTTTTGATATTTTAAGAATTAAGTCACGATAAAGTACAGACTGTCACTAAAGAAAATGTGTTGTAACTATAATAGCAAGTTTAGTTGTTACGCACTAGGTGACAATAAATATTGGATTGTTATTGTCATTTGACTTGTTATAATACCACTAAACATATGTAAAGTACTAAGGTACACATAATAATACACTGTATTAATGAACAATCGCGATGTTTGGAAAATACCATTTGTTCAATTGACGTGTTATAATTAATAATATGCAGCATTTTACATGTGTCCTTGTCACAGCTCTGACATCACACCAAAGTATTGTTAATAACTATTTTATTTTTATACATTTTACATTATTTCATTAATATCAGCATACTTATTATATATATAAATAAAGGTTTAAATAATTTATTTTTTGTTAAAATTATAAGTATCCTTTCAAAGAATTTATACGTAGATACACGTAGATACTACATAACATAAATTAACCCATAAATCTGTATGGGATGTGGCAATGTGAATGTTGAAACGCTAAAAAAAAAAATCTACTTGCATATTTATAGTGTTATGAATTTGTAGTGACTGGTGGATATTTTTTATCAATTGTGCATATTAGATACCTAATATTAATATATTATTAATAAAAATGCAAAATAATCATTATTAATTTTTAAAAAAATGTTTAAAATTTAATCATTTTTTTTTTTTTTTTATATACTATAATCATTCAAGAAATTGAAAATTACATTCGTTCTTTAAATTTAAAGTTTATAAAATTCATATCCCTAGTATGACGTTATGTCATTATAACAAGATTTGGGAATTATATTTTCGATTAAAATGATCTATGATAATTAAAAATTGTTAATGACGAGAGATCAACACAATAATGATATTAATAATAATAATAAAAAAAAATGTAATAAAATATATTTTCGAAACCATATAAATATGTCTACAATATTTTCATTTATTACCGTGAAAAAAAAAACCATTGATGTACTGTGATATGTATTATAGTATAGCGTTTGAAAATAGACTATTAAACGAAGCCTTGCACATTAAAAATTCGTCATCTATTCTAACAAATGTGAATAAAGTAAATTTTTATTTTTGTATTTTTAAATTAAAAATATAATTTGATTAGATTTAAAATAAAACATTATGACCATCTAAAACTTTTATTACGTTTATAACTCTGACTTCCAATTTATATTTTCAAAAAGAAGACGACTACCATTTTTAAACTAAAATTGTTTGCTCCCATAATCCGTATGACAAATAGTTACTGTTTAAACCATAATTTGATTACGAAATCGGTCTGGTTTTACTTTAAATTTTGTTTTTATTAATAATACGTTTCGTAATGAATTACTCTCGTTATACTAGCTGTTAGCAAAAATCCATTTACCTAACGTAATATTAAAAAAATAAGTACAGTATTAGTAAAAACAGTAGGTACAGTAGAAGTCAAATGTACAGGACATTTTTTTTAGTTTTGTCAATCTCTGTATATCCCAAATACCAACTAGACCTAATTTGTGACCAGAAATCATTCTAAATTTGAAAATCGAAAGATTTTTACTGACTCAAAAGGTGATGACAGCCCGAGAAAAACATTAGCCATTGTAAAATCAATACATTTATAAATCTGAAAATGTTTATGGTAACTATTATCAGTTATCGTTAAGTTATAGTGGCGTTTTAAACTACTTTTATATAAAGAGCAAAGATTCTTATATGAAATCTACACACCCACCGTTTTATTAAATAGCCCTACATATACCAAAATCGCTCTCTTCACTAGCATTGCCACTATGAAAAAAGTAATGAACAACTAATTTGGATTAAGTTATATATTATGTTTAAAGGCCATATTATATACTATACATTTTTTATTTTAAAGGTTACCTGAAACCTGTTAAACACTTTTGGTGCATAAAAAATAATTTTAAAGAAAAAAAATATATTGTAGTAAATATAAAATTCTCTCAATTCCATGTAATGTGAAAAGTATGTTATTTTCACTTTATTCAGATATGAGAACAATATTTAATATGAATAGCTGAACAAAAACAAAAACCTACAATTCATTGCTTGTTAAAAAGGAATTTTATAATTTGGAATTATCTTAAAGAATATTCTTTACGTGTACTTTAATTGTTTTCTTTTTTACACATATCCGTTTCTATTATTTTTTCTTCTTCACTAATTGCATAAAATATTATGTTTTTGTTAAAATGCTTGTGTTTTGTTTCCGCTGTTAACTATTTAAACAAAAAACCCTTCTAAATGGTTAATACCAAACATTTATTATGACTCGTATTCGCTATTATGTCGGTAACGCAATAGTTTAATTATTTAACAATTAGTTAGTGTTTTGAATACAAAACAATATTTGCGTAATCTTCTTACGGAGAATCACTCATAAAGGTGCATTTTGTGTTACCAGCCTATATAGATTCCAGGCTTTCGCGATCAAATAGTTTATTAGGTAAATAAATTAAACTAATTGAGATGTGTAAACCAGATTATAAGAGATTATTAGTAAGTGCATACGAGTTCATGAGATTATGAAGGTATGACTCGAAATCCAGTAGGTGATATATATTTAAATCACATTAGGCTCATATTATGTTACCAGCTTGAAACGTACGTGTTTGATTGTCGGATTGCATACTATACTGATTACAATACAACTCATCATCGTATTAAGCATTAAACCTAAGAATGATTCTGAATGTAAAAACATTGGCATAACTCATGAGACTGAATTGTTTCCTGATATTATATTGAATTATATTATATACCTACCTAGTTGCGTAAAGTTTAACGAAAAAACAATGAACAATAAATCCTAATTATTTTAATATTCAAATATATTGTATAGTTGGTCTTGTTTAAACATAAAATTAAATAATTATTGCTTTAATTTTGAAAATTATATTATACGCCATAATTTATCGAGATACTATATCAATAAAATTTAGCAGAATAATTATAAAGTTGATTTCATGTTAAAGTTTTTATAAGTTTGTTCAGCCAATAATAGTTTTTATAATACAACAAAAAATTTTGCTTGGTGAAAATTAGGAAACTTAATAATAATAATAGTAATAAAAAAAACTTTCAGATCTTTTCTGTCTAATTATTATTGTGCTGAAAATACAGAACATAACTGCAATACAACATATACAGACAATATAATTTAATTTTATTGTTGTAAGTTTGAAAACTTCATCAGCGTAACTACGTGTATAAATATATTATAATACTATAATACGCATATGATGTGCACAATATTTCACTGAAGAAAATGTGGTAGCGACTATTTACAATTAACAGTATAATATTCACTAAATTATCTGCATATTTTGTGTTTGAAGTAATTTATATACATAAGTGGTAAATTTTAGTTAAATATATTGTAGTATTATATTCATTACGTCTTTGTTTTAGAAATCTTTTACTGAGACACTGATTTTGATATTACAAAAATGTTTTAATGGTATACAATCAACTATTGAGGGCAAGAAATGTCGTCGTGTTCTTCCGTAAAATAATATTATATTTACGGTGTTGATGAACGCCAAATGAGTGTATATTTACCATTAACCAATAAAAATTCAAATATTTACAAAAAATTAACGAACTCGTAGTCATAAAACATTATACTTTCGTAGTAATATATTTTATTTATAAAAATTCTATATATAAATATTGATTAATGTAATATGATCGGGATTGTTTTAGATAATGAAATAAAACACCTGTAATCTAAATAATATGACTAATTGTAATATTACTATTTCATAAATATTTATCTTATTCACATTAATGAACAATGTTCTTTATATCATTAACATTATAATTTATAAATAATAATAATAATTAATTTATACAAGTATGCAAATCATGTACTAATTTATTTTTTTAATCCTCATTTAAAACCCACATAGAAAAATTTAAAATATTTACATAAATATTAATCATCTAAAATTGAAAAGAAATAAACACAGGAAAAAAATGTGTTTTTAAGTAAATCAAAAACCATTATTATGGTCAATAACAATTGTGGCTCTTAAAATGACATAGTAAATAGTAGTTAAGATATTATTTTATAATGAATAATCAAAAAAAAAAAAAAAGTTATTGTAAAATTGTATTACCTTGAGACATTTTATTATGTTATATTACTAATTATGTGCAATGATTATCTGTTTTTCTTTTAATATTACACGTTTTTGTGGTTTGCTGCTACGGGCAACGGTTGTTTAGCTTCAAAGTATTTCTTAGCCCCTTTGACGCCCACACGGCCGACGTCGATTTCAGGTAGGGCGCATAATACTCGGCGAGCCCATTCCACGTTTTTGCGTTGCGTTATCAGAAACTGTGAAAATGACTTAATATTAATAATAATAATAATAAAAATTAAATTAAAAACAGACACGTGTGGAGGAAAATACACTCTTTTGGCAAATTTGTATATGTTTCGTGATTATAATACGTGTGGGTTTTTACTAAATATTTAACTTATACGTTTACTTATAACTTCAAAGAAAATCATATACAATGTTTTCAAAGATCTTTAGACCGTGTACAAATACAAGAGCATATTCGTGCTCGCTGTTTTTATGAAAATATATTGTCGATTGGTTATTATCTGGATAAATAATATACATTTTAACAATTAAGCTTATGCGTAATAACGATCTTGGGCGTAAATGTTCACGAATCACTGGTATAGAAACACAACTGTAGAAACGACAACGTCAAGACGATCAAAAATGACGTACGTCTTACATATTTACCTATTATAAACATTTAGGTGTCTAACGAGAGGTATATCTACCATGATTCGTGATAATTCTTCAAACATTTTTGGCAAACTTTGAAGATCATATTGTACAGTGAAACTATTAATAGTCTTACCAATTTTGGAATCGGGTAGTGTGATAATAATTTCCGGCCATGGAAACTATTTAAAATATAATCACGTCGCAAACGAAGTATTCTGAAACCTTATATAGGACGACATCATCCGTGCTGGTCGCGCACTCAACCGTTTACACAAAGCGATTAAAATATTTAATTATAATATTTAATTTAACGCATTAACCTACAAACAATTTTCTTACGCATCCCCAAACGGAATTCCGAGAATCCTAAGAGTTTAAAACAGTTTCATATCGTCCGTATCTTTTCCGATTTCAAGTGTCAACATGATAATATATTGCATTAGTTTAGTAATATCCCATCCCAATCTAAACGGGGAAGAAGCATTTCAGCGGTTTTTTTTTCTCTAATAGGATACGGCCGTGCATTATAATATACAGGCAATGTGATAATATATTATTTTTCCGTATCAACCATTTTTAACTTTGTGTATGGGTGCTACAGCCTTCCTTTGTGTGATCTAATTTTCAACCGAAAATCTGTTTATACCTACAGTCATATAATACGGAATATAATCTAATTGTCATAGTCGTACGAAATCCTGTATATTATTATTATTATTTTGTTATACTTTGATACATGCTGAGAAATGTAAAACGTGCCGAATTAGGGTGTCGACAACAAACCGACAAATTGGAATATCTATGTCAGTTTTCATACTTGGTTATTAATTTCAAAAAAGCCATTCGATATTCCTCGGTTAAAACAATATTAACCAAGTCACTTGGAAAAAGGTTTCAAATTTCTGCAATAGTTATATTTTAGCACTTAGTTTTAACAATCGAGAGGATAAATAATTTTATTAAAAATGTTTTTTAAAGCAATTAACAATATAATTATCAAATGTATGGAATGCATTAACTTCAAATATTTTAAAATTAATTTAAGTTTCTTTTCACAAATACGTATGTATTAAATTTATTTATATCGTATGCTGAAATATTTATTTTTATTATTATAATTAGATCCGACATAGCAATAAATGATAAAATGTATTATAATATGAACTAAAATATTATTATTTGAGATACTATAACTTTGTAAGTTTATGATAATCATAACTCATAAGTAAAACGTTGTAAAAATAAATAAATAGAAGCAAATTTTTTTGTTTTAGAAAAAATGACGTGGCATTAGCTTATAATTATAGACATTGTTAATACTCTAAGAAGACAATGAGGAAAAAAATAGGGGTGGTCTCATAATACGTGGTTTACATAATTTTCATTGTCCAGAGAATAATAATTTTACTACAAATTATTATGATTAACATTATTATTGTTGAAAATTTATTATTTTTTTTTTTACCAGCGAAGAAAGTATTCTTCTAAACTTGAGTAGCTATGGTGTAAATTGTATTGAACTTAAATTGTAGTTTTGTATGTTAATAAATATATATTATATTATACTCTTTTTTAATTTGCAGTTTGAAGTACCAATATCTTTTAGAAATATATATAATAAAATAACATGTAATATCTTTCCTTTAATTTTGTTGAAACTTATCACATTTTAAGTTAAGTTAGAATTTAGTGATTACTCATTGCATAGAAATAGTAATAATTCTGAGCAGAGGCTATTGCCAGCATCTATTTCTAGAGATATTTTATAATACGAATTTTGTCATTAAAATTTACTGATTTTTCAATTGATTATTTGGTAGAATTAAATAATTTATAGATAAAAAGTTAAGTATACTAAATTACTACTTAATACTTATAATATATGATATATAAATAAGAAACAATAACAAAGGTTTTATCAAAAACTAATGTTTGCAAATATTTCCATTATTCTGTGATTTTTTTTTTTTTATATATGATGACATTTTTATATTGGACCTTTAAGAAACGAACCAAAAAATCTTTTATTAAAAATCTCCATCTTTCAAGATGAAGAAAAAGCTTTTATCTGTTTCTAGAAGTAAAATTAGACATACAAAAATATATACATTATGTAAAATTAATATAACTAACTATATTATATACATGACTTAATTCATCGCCTAATTTAAAATCTAAAATGATATGTAAGGTTATTTTTAAAAGAATTTTTTTGTATTTACATTTATGTTCAAACTAACATCTAAAATTTTTTTTTTCGTAAAATATAAATAAATTATACCTAAAAACAAGGTTGTGATACTGTTCAACAATTTCACAACAGAACAGTTAATTAAAGAAGTATAGAAATGATACGTAAATATTGAATAAAGACAATTATACTGACCTCGCGAAAACTTAGTTTTCCATCACCATCTTCATCTGCGTCTCTAATAAGCCGTATAATCGCTGAGTGAGTCCATGGAACACCACGTACCATCATCATACCTTTGAGGTCTTCGACATCTAAATATCCATCGTTGTCCGTGTCATATCTAATATTATTATTATTATTATTATGAAAAGGATGTTACTTTTTAATCCTTAGCAAACTTAAATTACTGGTATTGTAATTAATAAATCAAATCATATATCGTTTTTCTATTATGAAATAGTTTGTGATATTGCAGATAAATAACGTAAACCGGCGGCTATTTTAAACTAAATTATATTGTATTATTAATCAGCATGAAATATATACGTTTAAAACATTTTATACTTCAAATTATTGTTATTTATTTTAACTTTAATCTTAGTATAATTTAATTATTTGATATTGTTTTACAATTGTAATTATATAATTTAAAAACTTTTACAAAAAGGACAACACCCGTTAATAGTTATAAAAATAAAAAAAATAATTTTATTTAAATTTTTTTATTATTGATAATACTAATAATTCTACTTTTAATAATAATATTTATTATTTGAGAATATCTTTACCCTGCATGTGTATACGTTTTCTACTATTTTATAATTTATTTAAAAGTTTTACAACTATTTTAAATTATAAAACTATACAAAAAAATAAAAATTTAATTAAAAAATGAGTTTAAGTGAATAATAAGTAATAAGTATTGTGCAATGTAGTTATAATTAATATAATAAACAAAAATATGTTTACATACCTTATGTTTAACAAACAGAAAAATAATTCGAAATTAATATCAACTATCAAGATTATTAAGTAAGTATGCTATTATCTATAATAGAAAGCAATAAAATTATTATGCGATAATACTCCAGTTATAATAATAATTAGGTACTAACTATAAATACTATAATATGAAATGATTAAAAAAAATATTACCTAGTAAAAGTTTTTTCATAACGTTTTATTAAATTTGGCGAAAGTTCTGGAAATTCTTTTAATATATATTGTCGGTCTTTGAATGAAAGATTTGAGAACATTTTTTTTTTTTTTTTGTATTTTAACTAAAATAATAAATAAACAAAACTGTTCTTATTTATTTTAACGTAAGTTATAAAAATAAAATAAATGTTGTAGCAAAGATATCACATTAAATAAACGAGAATACGTTATCGACTTATCTGTTACATATCATTACAATAACTGTTTTATTTTTGATTTGTAGTGTCATATAAATACTATTGATCGAAGTTTACCGGAAATTCAGGAACACAACCATGACCACGGAAAATTGACATTAGCTATGATAATCCCATTGAAAATTACGAATTGAGTTGTCAAATCATGTTGTTTTTTTAATATTGTCCTCGGCCTTGGTGGTGGTTGAACACGTTCAGGGGGATACAGCGCAAAGGTCGATGATGATTTTTCATTTTTCAGATGCATTTCATTGAGGCAATAAAGTGCAGAATAATGAATTAATATATGTTTAATTTATTTCATGAATATCAAATAATCTAGTTTGCTTACGTATGACAAATGTGTATATTTTGTATTACATTTAATTTTGTTTGATTAAAAAGTATTTCAATAAAAAAGACGATACTATAATCTCATCATTGGAAAACAATTAGATACGACACTGAGTACCTACTGAATTAATCCATTATGCAATGTTTCTCAGTAAAATAGTCCCTAACGTCTTTCATTTTAGGTTAATTTTATAGTCTAATTAGGGAAATACTTAGCTATCCTTAAATATACATCATTATTAAATTACCTACTTGTGTAATGTGTTCACTGTAATTTAAGTTTTATTTAGCTCTCCTAAAGACAAAAAAAACCACAAATTTAATAGTAAGTTTTAAACTTAAATCAGGCGGAAAACTCTTAAATTGTTTTGAAATTAAAAGAAAATAAAACTAACCACTGAAGGTAATATATTATATAATAATACTTATTTGTGGTTAAGCTTTTTCCACTTGATAATTTATTCTCTATTTTAAGAAATCTATTAAACCTAAAATATGTAAGTATTTTGTATTATGAAATGTGTAAAATAAAATATTTATATGAACGGTTTAAAATGTATAGACTAAATATAATTTAATAAGTTTTATTTTTTAATTATATTTTCTTCAATTTTTGATTTTGATACGCAATTTTGTTAAATAATTTAACTAAGTTTAAATGCAAAATAAAATGTTTTACTTAAAATATAATTTTAATTATTACCGTGATTATTATTAAGTCTTATGTAGTTATAAGAAAACATTATCATTTTGCGACTAATTTTACAAAATGTTCAAGCTTAAACTTTAAAATCAATTTAAATATTTAAAAAATATCAATAAACAGTTTACATACGAGTAGATATTCTCAATCAATAAATAAGGGCATATAAGTATTTAATACAATTCTCCAGTGTGCCGTCTAGTTTTTACCTTTTGTGTATTACTTGATGAAAAAGTTGATCACTATTTTCTATTGTTGACATAATTTATAAATTGAGTAAATTTTTCAGACCATGTGGCTTATTTTGATCTCAATATTTACAAAAATATAGTTTAATTGTATAAAATTTAATTCTAAAGCACAAATAATATTTAAAATAAAACAAGATCTTAAATGTCCTTTTGTTAAGTTTAACTATATGTAACTTTTATTGCAGCCATGTAGCTTAAGATGATAAATATTTTTCATTTAGGCAAAGTTAAATAATTTTTCAACTAATTGTATTTATTGAGTAATGATGGCATAGAAATAGAAACTATTTTTGAGTTTTGATTACTTATATTGAACATTTATGAATAATTATATAACATGATATAAATAAACATGTAATAAATATATTACTTTTTACTAATAATATTATCTTATAAATATATATATATGTAATTCAAAACCAATTTTTTTTGAAAATACAATAACTAATAAGTGTAATTAAATCATTTGCTATTTTGAACTCAATTAAGAATATAACAAATAGATTAACATTTAAATATAAATACTAAAATGAAAGAAATTAAGTTTATTTTTGAATAGAATCTAGTAGATATATTCTTAAAGTGTGAAAAATGGTATTTTTTAGTAAAACAATTAATATTTTGTTATATAATTTTACAGCAAAAAATTAACCTCTAATGTTGACAAACAGAAAGTGAGGGTTGTATATTTTTAATTATCGTTAAAAATTAAAGTTATATATTCTGGATTCGAAGGAGAAAAATATGAATTGATAAGAAAACTATGGTTTTAACTATAATTGATAATTATACTTTTTGATATTTAAAATGTTAAGTTGTTATAAAATATCAATGTTATCATAATAAACTAAATATAATAATTAGTAATATATATATACAAGATATTTAAATATTTCTATAATATCTGTTATCACATTTTTTCATTGAACTTATTATTTTGCTTAATTGTCCATTAGAAAAAATGAGTGAAGGAAAATATGAATGCTTATTATATAAATCATAATATCGTAAATAAAAATAAAAACAAGATATGAAGAAAAAATCGTCACATGTATATTTTTGTAAAACAATTTTGTAACGAATGAATAATAATCAAACACAATTTACACACTTACTCATTAATAATAATTAATTATAGTAATAATAATAGTTTTAATAATATTAATAACCGTCCTTAGGACAAAACGAACAAATTTTGATCGATATATTTATGTATTTATTATATTATGTATAATACTAAATAGATATGATAGAAGTATATATTATTATTAAATGTATATTACACATTATATTGTATATAAACACACACGGATAGTATTTGTAAATTAAATTTCGATCGAATACACATTAGTTATAACCGAAAGAAAAATAGCATTAACTTCTAAACAGAGTTGGCATCTTGTGTGTGCGAATACGATTACACTTATTGACTTATATTTAGTTATATTATATAAGTAGCGACAACGTGAATAAAACAATTTTTTTCTAATTGCCTATGTAAATATTTTTTTTTAATAATGAACATATTACGAGCTATCAAAAACTTAAAAATATTACTACTTATTAGAATTTAAATGTTAACTATTTTATTTATGCATTGATACTTGACATTAAAAAGATTATTATAACTTTATATAAACATTATAAATTATAATAATGTAGTACGTTATAATACAAATAAACCGAAAGTCGGAAAAGAATAAAGTAATAAATAATATATAATAATAAAGTTTTGATACAAAATTGAACAAAAAAAAAAAAAAAAAACAACACAAAACTGTAATGGTAATTATAAATTCAGTTGAAAAACTAAATTCTAAGATAAAACAGTGTTACTAAATAGTTAATTAGTAGTTGAACAAAATTGTTTTAATCAAACATTATATAATATACGAATTTTTAATTAACTTGATAAAATTTACGAGAATAATGTTTATAATATAAAAGTATAGTAGTTAATTTTCATGTTTTATAAATTAAATAAAAATTTCTTAGATAATTTATAAATTATAATAATAATTCATAATAAATTGATAAAAAAAAAAATATATGTTTTACAGATCTAGCTATCTAAAATACAAAACAAAAATTGAAAAATTTCGTGTGTGTTTTTAATGTAAAAATGTATTATAATATATCAGTATTTTCATTAATATTTTATTTAGGTATGTAATTAAACTATTATATAAATCAATAATTCCTAAGGGTAACTCGTTATCGTTATCGATACCGATTTTAATCATAAATAATTATTATTAAATATTTACACCAAATAAAATGTATTAATATTAGTAATAATAAAAACTTTATTCACATTTTTTTTTTTTAAACGCCATACCTTATTTAACAGTAGACTAACGATGTCGCTGGTGTGCGAATCAATGACAATTTTACTTCAATAATTGTTTCCAACTTAAATACAAACAACAACAATATTATTACTTAGCCATTAATATAATAAATTTAAACACAGATAATTTAAAATTCATTTTTTACAAAAATTATAACATTTAACAACTGTTATCCAGCAAAGAACAAGCAGTATTGGTTATTTGGTGGATTACTCACTATGGATGTTATAATATAGATATTATTGTACAGTTTTATAGGGTTATATTAAATTTTATATAATTAAATATTAATGTGAAGATGTAAGGAATTCGTCTAGTTGTCTCACTCTCAACACATAAAATAGTATTATGGAGGACGTTTCCAAGTTTGATTCACGTTTACAACAGATATTTGTACCAAAAAAAAAAAAAAAATGTGTTGTTATAACAAAACTTAGGCAGGTAATGTAATCAGGTAATGGAAATCTATTCGAAAAAAAATGCATCTATTTGGAATAATAATTGTTGAATTTCACAAGTTTTTTATGATTTAGTGTAATTAAATTAACACGAATTTAATGGAATTACTCCACTATATTTAGCTGGTGTGTAACGCTAAACAGAATAATTTTTTATTGTAAAATCATTTCACATATCAAAATATATTTAATTTCTGTACTAGACTGGAGATGATACATATCATAAAGACAATCGAACATCAGAAATATTACATAGCATTTCATGTTAAATTACTAAAGATGAAACATTTGATATGAATAATAATAATAATTTGATTAAGGTTATACCAAATTTTAACCATCATAATCATGTTTGATAACCTCAAGTAAAATAAGGATTTAAAAATTGAATTACGAAGTACCTAGTTCAAAAGCCAATGGAAATTCATATAGACTGAAGTTATTAAACGTAAAATGAATTTAGAAGAGTTTATTATAATATACAAACGTTCAGATGTAATATGAGTACAAATGTTAGAAACGTCCAAGGGAAAGATAAACAGAGGAAAAATCTTTGTTTAATATACATTTAGGAAGTTATTAACAAAATATATTCATAATACAATTAATAATAATAAGAATAATATTGGGTAATATTAATAATATAATAATGATAATGATAATAATAATTAGGACTATATAGGACTATGTATTTTATGTTTACATAACATAAAATAAGATAATAATACGAATTACACGTTTATAATTATATAATTAAACGCAGCTTTCTTGTTGGCTAGACATCAATGGAGTTCGTACTGTAACGATTTCCCGATGATGGTAAGGTGGTAACCGGGATGATACCGCAATGGTTGTCGAAATATGCTGTTCAGGTCTGTAGCCATTGTTGCTATAACCTGGGCCAATTGATGTAGCGGGCTGTAATCAATATTAAACAATTTTTAAATTGATCGCAAGATAAATTATCCCAAACATTGTTTTCCTATATTTTTATTACCTATATCAATATATTTATATTATGCGTATGATCTTAGTTGAAATATTTTTATTGTTACGAATATTATTTATTTTTTTTCTCTCCTTAATTTTATTACCTTATTCTTTACCTTCACCTTTCAAGCAAAAAGTCACTAGTGGGTGACTTATTAATCATGTAAATCACAATGTATTATTCTTTTTTCCCATAAACTTATTGGTTTAATTAGTATAGATTGTAAATTTATTATATATAAAAAAAAAAAAATTCATACTATATATTCATTAACATTTAAATATTGAAAACATATTTATAATTTGATTAATTTGTATTATAAATAATTGATCGAATTACGAGATAATATAAGTATGATAAATAAAAACAGTTCAAAATTTTGATAATTTATCTTAATTTTAACTAATTTTTATTTTAATACATAATATTATATTACGCGCAATATTATTATGTTGATAATTATATTTTTTTTAACAATGTTGTAATATTGTGTTTAATATTGAGCATTATTGTTGAATTCTTTATTAAAAATATAATAAATACATAATATTTAAAAAAGATGTAATTCAATATTATAAAATTTTAAACTGAGCTGAGTTTGTAACATTTTAATTTGTAAATACTAATAGCCAATTAAAATTATTTTATTTTCAACATAGGAAATATGGGAAGTTTTTCAATTTATTAGATTAAATCACTTTATTTAATTTCACAAAATTGATTACAATGAATAATGAAAAACAAAACTGATTATCTATTTTATGTATAGGTAAAAGATGTGATAATAGATTTGCTTTAATCACTTCAGAGGTGTTTCAAGATTTAAGGTAATGTATTTAACACAAACTTCTCAGCTTATGGGAAGGTACCAGAAATGTTTATCTAACTTAAGTTTTACCAACCAATTATTAACGGTTGTACAAATTTGTGATTAACTAAGTGGATAGTGGTTTACCTGAAAATGGGTTTTCTGATCAGTATAAATGATAATATTAACATTTATTATACACATTTTTATCATCAAAGTAACCTTATATTTTACAGATTTACAAAAAAAAAAATGTCAATTTATTTTAATTGGGTTATTAATTATTATTGATTTATGCGCATTACTTATTGTATGAGTGATTATTTGTATGAAAAGCAATTAAAACATAAAATTTTATAATATTTGTTTTGGTAACATTTTAGGCACTCATCGAGAGAAAGAGAAAAAATATATGAAAAAATAAAAATAATAGTATGAACTATATACATATTTTATTTGTTTAAGTTTATTTTATAAATATAAATTAATGGTATTAAAAAAAATAAGATTTGTCGTAAATAATAAGTAATTTGAAATTTAATATATTGTAACATTTTAAACACATGATGTCGTAGTATACAATTGTAGTTTTCATTTTCATTTTTAATTATATATATTTGTGCTTATCGAAATTATAATATATTATATTTAGATGCGTAGTTTGTTATATTAATCTGATTTAATATTTATGCAGGTGGATAATATTATAACATTTATTAAAACAGTACATAATATTATAATTGTATAATAGATTGAGTTATATTATAGGTATATTATTTACTGTACATATATATTACATCCACTCAATGTAATCAAACGTTTTATGAAATGGATATACATTACATAAAATTTGATCGTAACTATTGATGCTTTTATTTTAATACAGTGGAGACAACACATATCCAATTTGTGAAATGAAAACCGTTAGTTTACACTTTATGTAATTTTTGTTTTTTAATTTATATTAGTTATATAGGTAACTTTTTGTGGGATGGTTACTGAAAAATAGCGCTTGCACTTAATTATAATCTATAACAAAATAATATAATAATATATCAACTAATATTTGGGTACATAAATTAGGAAATAGTGTTGCTATGTAGAAATGTAATTACTAATACGATTATGCATATCAAAAATATATTTTATTAACAGACATGTACCCGAGTGTAATATATTTTATCTCGAAAACGATTCCTAGGATTTTGTTAGAATTTTAACCCATGGAAATAATATCAAATTAATTATTAATTACTATTGTTATTTTTCAAGAAAAACTTTTCAAAAAGAGCACATCATGTTGTTAAAATGCCTCACAAATGCCTTTTTATGTGAAATAAGTAAAAAAAAAAAAAACTCAAAATAATCATAAAAATATTACAAATTGACTTTAAGAACCTTTAGAAATGCTATGAATTGTATGATTGTTTGATTAAATTACATGTAATAATACAGAAACGCAATGAATCTCAGTCACAAGATTTACATGAGGAACTAAGCGAAATAAATAACAAACGTAGAAAATACGAGAAAACAGGAGAACGCGAACAACTGCAGTAGTTTACGGTAGATCAATTACGAGATAGTAATAGGAGAACTGAAGGATCACAAGAACAAAGAGATCAGTGAAAAAAGCTTACCACGCGTAACGCAACACTCGTAAAACGTGAGTTAAAGTATATATAGTATATAAAACATTGTCAAAGAGATATAAAATTTTGAGAAACTGAACCCGACCCAAATTCGGTCACCCGTTACTTCATAATTAAATTGTGTCATGAGTATGTTATTTGTAATACTAGTTTATACATTATATTTACATTTTAATATTATTATACTATTATTTTGTCATAACTGCATAATGGTAATTTAAATTTTTCGATCGCTATTTCACAAAAGTTTTCAGTACAGACAATAAATAAAAAAAATTTAAAAAATAAAATACTCTAAATTTAAAATGATTGTTTAATTTTCACGCAATGGATACAATGTGTGTCCATTTCATAAATCCAAACAACATATGTAATAACGGAAACGAATGAGTTGACCAGAAATTAATTTTGTGAAAATTCCGATTACATAATACGTGAAATATATAATTTAAAAATAAAATTGTGATTGAGATTGTATTAAGATAACTATATACATTAAGAATCAGGTAAGATGCATGACGTCATAAATAATTTATTTTAAATATATTATATAATATTAGGTATGTTACTTTATCCTTTTATTGGCATCTATTATAGATAAAACATATCTTAAATTTAGATCTTTAAAAATTGTTATTATTTTATTGTTAAAATGGATTATGGATATATTATTTAACTAAATGCGCAGTGGACTTACGTGTCGCAGTGAGCTGGCGGATGGGCGCGAGCCAATACCGTCAACCGGAAGTGTCGGGTAACCGGATCGTTCATCGTCTGATGATTCGGCAGCATTCAAGTTTTCATCATCGTCGTCATTTAATCCCATCATCGACTGTTGCTGGACAACACGGTATCCGATGTTTCCTCTGCTTCCGCCTAAATCATAATATATTAGAGTAATTTCGATAATGATAATCAACCAAAATAGTATTATTTTTAAACAAATAATTTCACACGGTAGATATACGCAGCGTAACATATTTTTAGGTAAGCTTACTGACAACAATGCAATTTTAATATTTGTATTGCAATGATTTCGATACGATATATTATATTGTATGTCGTTTGTCGGATTACTAACGGAACTTCATTTTTATTTACAAGTTGTGTAGGAAAATCAAATCGTTTCGGGATCATTTGGCGGAAAAATATTGTTATATCTAGTAAAATAAACTTTGTAGGTATATATTGTATGTTGTTATCGGTATTTCATTGTTTCAAATATATATATATAATCTATAGCTACCGGTGCCCTTTATAATAACATTTCGATTTTTTTACACGTATAATGACTTTGACCAGTTGACTAGTGAGTCGTTTAAGCGTGTAAAAATTCGAAATATTATTATAAAGGGCACCGGTAGCTATATATAAACATATACATATATTATTTTTTTTTTTTTTAAAGTTGAAATAACGATAACAGTTTACAATAAAACGTCATTATTAATCGGTAAAGCGGTCACTCAATATGAATAAGGTGAAATCCAATTTTAAAAACTTAAAAACCTACGTGAGATTGCATTTGAATTTTACCGGTGCACCATTCATATTATTTAAAAATTTAATAATATTCTATTAGTCTTGTTGGGATTCAAAGAACGACATTTGTAAATATATCAACAAATATGATCGATACATTATAATATTTTTAAATAACTCTTATACTTAGGTATCTACATTGTATTGTTATACATTGGTATTGTTCCAAAACTGTTTAAAATTAATATAGGCTTAAATATTTTTATAATTTATGGTCCATAAATAAATAATATCTTTTTTTTTTACTAATAAATAATAATCTAACCAGCATAACATTAATTGAAATTCTGTGATTAGACTTAAAAATGTTATTACATTTTAAGAGTATAATTAAAACAATGATTTATAGTTGCACATAATACGAATCTTAATTTTGAATTAAAAAAAAAACTTGAAAATAAAAAATATCCTCAATAGAAAAAAAAAATGTTAAAATAAGTCATTACTTATCAATCCAATCACATTCAAAAATGCTTAGAAAAAATATAAATATTATACAACTGCATTAACATATGTAAATATTATGTTACACAATATTTGTCAGATTCATTTTTGTAATTCGTCCCGTCAATAATGTTATTATACAGATTTTAGTTTTATTGATGCTAAATATTTTTTTCAAATTAATATTTCTTATGGGCATCTAAACTAGTAATTATTATCGGTTGTATTGTTAATATACATTCGATGGAACCTAACCGGATGTAAATTTAAACAAAACTATATGATCTACGACTAACGCGTTAAGAATAAATTAAGAAAATAGGAATTTGTTGCTGAGCGTACTTTTGATTTTAGTCGGCGGGATCAGGTCTGGATTTTTATCTGGGTCCAATGCTGCCGTGTACTCATCGTCGTCGTCATCCGTTTTCTGCTTGCATACGGCGATGACAGCAGCTCCACCACCAACACCTCCGCCCATAATGCTGCCGGTTCCGGCCCCGCATAAGTCTTGCCGGCGTTGGTTCCGGTGCCGTCGGGATCGCACACGCAGCGCGCACATCACCGCAGCTGCGGCTACGGCTGACACAATGGTGACGGCCAAAAGACCAGCGACTACTGGCGTCAAACGGAAATGGTCGTTGCCACCGGCTCCTACAGCAGACGAACCTGTTAAACCAAAATCAAATAATATGATTTATATGATTGTGTACGGCGCTGAGCTTAGAAAGAAAACTTAAGTGACGTTTGATCGAAGTTAAATTAATTTTGATTGTAATAATCCGATCACGGCAACCGATGTCGTGAAAGAGGCAATGATGTTAAAAGCAGATCGGAAGTCGATAAGTAGCTCTTGAAAATATGGTTTTTATGATCTAATAAAGTAGTAAGTACTATACAATTAAGTAAGTACAATGTAAGGTTAGTTACTGTACATATTTTAATAACATTTTTTTTTATTTGAATATTAAATTACAATTTATTCTGATATTATGATAATTATAGCAATTTATATACATGAAACACCGAAATTGCCTGTACAAGACGTCTTATAATAATAGTTATATTGTTAAAAACTTAAATAGATTAATAAAATATCTATAGTGATTATCAGATACTAAACAAATGTTTTTAATAGCAACATTAATGTATAAATGGAAAAAAAAATTGTCTCATTAAAGATTTGAAATGCCTAGATAATATTTTTTTGTCTTCCAGGCCAAAATAAACTGTATCTACGAATTGGTTATCATACGTAGGTACGTACATACAAATAAGTAATATTGCTGTGATCTGTTGATGTGATTTTTCATCAAAAATGTGAGCTGAATTTTTATCTAATTTAGAATGAACTACGTGTTTTTGTGAATCGTTTGGTGAAAAACTGGATTTAGCATTTTATTCTACCTGCTCAATTTTTATTTTCAATTATTTAAAAAGAGATACAATTTGAAACATATCAAAAAAAAAAAAAAAAACACACAAAGTCAATAAAAACAGCTATAAAGACAAAGGTCATTAGTGAAAAAAATAAATTAATAAATCGAATGACTGCAAAATTGTGTATTTTCATTTATAAAATAATATATTTATAAATTAACATCACATTAATTTTGTTTCTCTTATTATTTATTTTAACTAACTTCGACGTAGGTATTTAATATTGTTGAAATATACGTACTTTTATACTTTTATTAAATTCATACACTTATTATAAATTAAAATTATTGACTAATATATGGATAGCTTATTGCTTGTATTTTTATATTTGTTGACTGCAGTAACACAAAGTTGTTAATCATATCAATAGATATTTAGACACTCCTAAGTTCATTTAAAATGGGGACAAAACTGCGGTCAATTCAAAATAGGTATATTATTATAATGTATCTATTATAATTAAAAAATTTAATTTTAACATAGTTTTTATTAAATAGAAAATCCATCGGAATCAATTCGCATGTTACTTAATATAGGCCACTCGATATAACCAATTCGATAATTGGGATCCATTTCTTAAGCGTCCGTTTTTATACATATTTTTCAACACTGTACAACACTTTACAGTTAATGGAATAATCAAATGTATATTATTAATTTTATTACTACAGATTTCCACTATATAGCATACTCGGTGCCCATAATATTATCGATGCTATTATGATTTAAACACCTTATCGCGAACTCCAAACGATCGGTAAATATAATATACCTACGATAAATACGACTATCAAAAATAGGTTAACTACAAAAGTTTTAGAATTTTGAAATACTCACACGTGTTTATCACCAGAGGAAATTGCGCGGTGGAGTCGGGCGATAATATTGCACGAATAATCGGAACATTTTCTTATCGAATGACAAATTTATGCGTTAGTGAATTGCAAATTTAATGTATACAAATCCGTAAATTTGAATAAAACAACGCTTCCAGCGTTCACAAGTAAATTTTACCTTCTAAATAAACTACATTATGGAGACCCCTATTATAGTAAATATAACATAATATTAATTATCATACATTCTGACCTGTATACCTGTAACGTGAATATATGCAGGTAGTATGAATTTCTGTAAGTTTATACATTTTCCAATTATTCACCTATTGTATTATAATTTTTGTATTATTATTACAGTGTTTACACTTGACATCGAGATGAGTAAATCACGTAAACCATTAAATCTGAAAATAATGATTTTTGTTTTTGTATGAATATTTAATTATTGGTTTTTAGTCTTTGATGAACAAAAAATATAAATAGTTATTGTAATTTAATTTTTATTATTTGTGACTATAACTTTTGATATATTTATAACACATATTTAACTCAATTTTATTTCAAATTTGAAAATGGAATGTACATATTTTTAGTTGTTAGACAATTTTTTTTTTTATTGAATTTAATGAAATTTTGGTTTCTGTAGTTAAATTTATGTATTATTTGCATAAAATTCTAGCAAAAATATTTATTAATTATATAAGATAGTATAAGATTATTATATATGTTTTATTTTTTAATTTGGCATAATACTATTGTTGGAATTACAAATGTATGGATATAGATTTTGCTATTGATTAGATTTTAATGATATACATGTGTGTATGTATAACTTATGTAAATTAATATATTTTTTAATTTATATTTTAAACGTTTACAAAAATGTTATTTTAATATCAAAATTTATATACGATACAACTTTTCGTATAAAACTATTAAATAAAATTAAATGATGATAATTAATTAAAACTAATTAGTCGTTATCTTATAGTTAGGAGCAATTAAAAATTACTTTTTATCAAAACTTGTGTATTATGTTTATATTTAAGAAAAAATAAATAACTAACCACATTGAAGATTAATGCTGTGAATACAAGTTGAATATAAAAAATAAAACTAATAAGACAGTTTATTTAATAATAAAAAATTAAGTGGATATTATGATAATAAAATATAATCAAATGCTTACAACTTTTACAATGATAATATATTTACATATATAACTATTTTAAACTTAATATAATATAATAATATGTTAGGTTTATCGTTGTCGTTAATAGGATTTGCATTATCATACTTATAATACAACTTTATTCAAATTTTATTTTATAGTTTTATGGGAAACTATTTTTTTTTATAGTAATTGCATGTATTAATAACTCAAAACTTGTAATATAAAAGTACATTTCTAGAAAATATTGAGTGTCGTATGTATAGATTTAGTTTAGAATTTTAGGTACAGATAATCGTTTATTATCATCATGGTAATGTAAATTTATGGGTATATATTTTATTTTGAGAAAAAAATCTATACCGTTACCTACATAAATAGTTTTGTATAACATGTGTAAAGTCTGTTAATTTCAAAATTCTCTCTTGAAATAAAATTTAAGAAGTTATTAAAACAGTTTTTTTAACAAATAAACAAAATAAATTTTTCAGTATTTAATATTAAGTTACATTTTATTTATCATGCACAATTTACATATTATTATTGAGCATACGCCACGCAAAAGATTGACGTTTATAACAGATATTTTTTGGTTTCTGAATTCTAGATTGTCAAATGAGTAAATATTGACAACTGTAGAATAGCTTATTTAATTTTCTTTTTGATAACTACAATAACGAGTACTGCAAAAAAGGATAATTTAACAAGGTCCCGCGAGATTTACACTTTATAACTCTAATATCTCTTTACTCGCAAATTGACCACGGTAACGAGTACTGGATGTTTGAGAGTAAGATCTCTTTAACTTAGATCAAAACATACTCTTTCTTAACTTACTATGATAACTGAAAGAAAAGTAAATATAACAGTGTCTTGCTACCTTTTACTAAAGTGTTATCTCACCACAAATGCCTCAGTACACATTCTTGAGGTTGGGTACTTTAAAAAAGGGTATATAAGTATGTAAAATAAAAGGGGATTTATTTTATTATATTGTATAAATTGTGTAAATAATGGAAATAAAAAGTTATCGTAAAAATATTATGAAGATCTTATCTATTTTTTTTTAACTTGATCATAAAGTATGTTGGTATTGTTTTATAAAAAAAAGTATACTTTGAAGTATACGGCGTATACTTAACTCATTTAATCAAAACAATAGAGTTGTTAATATTGAAAAAAAATCAACTTTATTAACTTATGGATGAATAATTTTATATCTCAACCGAGCCTATATACATGCAAATGCGCGAAGTAAATTTAATATAATATGCAATATAATACGTTCATCTAAAAAGCGCCGCGTAGAGGGGAAAAAATTAAAATATCAGTTGCCCCGGAGGAAATGGACGGGGAAATATTTTTAAGTGATTTTATTGTATAAAAAATAAGTATTTTACAAGTCTCCATTGTTCGTTCATTTTAAATAAATATATGTATATATACATACAGTACACGTATATATTATTATTATATAATATACAAATATAAAAATATGAATTTATTTTAAAATTTATCAACAGAAAAAAAATTCCATACCTTTTGATATAAAAATTATCTAGTCTTGTGAGGGCATGTAGGTATTTTAAAGAGTAAGTAGTTCGTATTAGATCGTGAAAGAAACATGATTTAACCACAGTAAACAGATATGGAAACACGATACACGTAAATAGTTATGACAATATAATATTATATCTTTAGACAACACTGTTTATACATAGTCTTCAGTTCTTTAGAGACTTGTAGAACGCTGACAAGGTATGAAATATTAAAATACTTGAGCTGTAGTTGTGTAGTTGTCTACGCGTATAGCTGTATACATATATTACCTAGATGGATGCTTCTATGATGTTTACAACCATAATAATCATTAACGCGGTACAACAACCATAAAATAATAATATGTACAACTACAACGACGACATGCACATGGTAATTAAACGGAAGGTTGGTTAAAAAAATGTATTTTATGACACATAATAAGAGATTGCTTTGTTAAAAGTATTAAAAACAAAGTCAAGTCCAAACATTACATTATTGGTCTACCAAACGTTTTCGTACCAAGCATAGGACCTATAATACTACATGTTTCTCAATGTAATACCATGTTAAAAGTTTAAAACCGAAATAAAAGATAAACTATACAGAACTTGAAATAATCAATTTACATAAATGAAAATTAGAATTTTTTTCGTGATTGTACTAGCTTATAGTTATGTATATAAAGTTTATACACTTATTACTGATCATTTAAATAATGAAATACAAATAAAGTTTAAATTATATGATAATTTTTAGTTGAGAAACGACTTTTTTTAATATTGAAGTCGTTTCATTTACAATTATTTCATTATTTATCTACCGTTTTTGGACGCCTTGAACATTTTAAGTATTGTAGTATATATTAATGTGTGTGTATTGATGTGTGTATAATATATGTGTATAAAATTGTATTAATAATTAAAGAATTGAAAGTGAATATTGTTTATTGTTTAAAAGAAAGCTATAAAAACAATTATGAAGTTAAAATAGGATTACTAGAAATGTTAAGACAATTATTATTAAATTGAAATGTAATGTTATAATATTATGTTAACACAGTAGGTAAAAAAAATCGGCAAATTTAAACATGGTTTTATTTTTTTACCGTATAATTGTATCTAGTAGCTATGCAATTTTTATTTCCAATAAAATACTTACTAAAAAGTTGTTGTTGATGTAACATATTTATACGTATTATGCATAACCATAAATTTAACTAACTACATATTTTTTATTTCTGATTTCGTAAAAAAGTTTTTATATAGCTCAAAGTTTAACTCACTTATTTAATTACGTTTGGTTTTTTTCAAACATTTAAAAATTTTCAAATCTTTTTTGATATCACCCTATAGATATATTATTAGATTTATAATTTACTTTTAAGTTTTATCACTGACACTTATTGATTTTATTTCGTTATTCCAAACCAGAAAGCACTGTTCCGTAGTTCGTCGTCAAAGCTTTAAACGACGATACGATAACTATTAGCGTGAAGTTTGTGTTTAAATCGGATAATTATTACAGTAAATCGACCGAATTAAAGTATTATAATCCATATTAACACCATTGATGGTATTATAACAAAACAACGGCGCGCATCTTGTGCGTATTATCAATCAAACGGTTGTCGGAAATGACAAATAATAATAATCGTTCGACCAAAATAAGCCTAACAATAACAAAAATATTGTTACGTGTGTATCGCGCTGTACGTACCGGAAGTAGTCTGTTGGTCGGGCGAGTTGAGTGTGTAGGCGGTCAGCCACGTACGGTCGCTGGTACCGCGCGAGTTGTACGCGTATACGGCCAACCGGAGCCCTACGGACGGCGACAGCTGTCGGAGCGTGAAGTCAGGCCGGTCGGCTGTCAGGTTGGCCAACATCGGTGGCGCCGGCCCGTCGGCGGCCACCGCGGGCCCGCCGTACCCGTCGTCAAACCGGACGGCCTCCGTCGGCGCGGCGCCCGCCGAGTCGTACGCCTCCAGGGCGAAGCGTTGAGCGACGCCCCCGTCGAACCCCTTGCGTGCACCACACGTGCACCGAGAACTGCGTCCGGTCACCGGAAGTGCAGTTGAACGGCGGGTCAGGTCTCACTGCGGCCCGGCAAAAAAAACAAATACACGAGATTAATGACCGCGAATAGAAAATTCGCAGTTTTATCCGATATTTATAAATATATATATATATAAATATAAATATAAATGATCGTTTCTAATAGTCCTAAACAATCCTGCGGTTTACGTCCGCGCGACGTGCCTGCAATTAGCCGGTCGACTGGAAAACAGATAAATTAGGAATTCTAAACGGGCAGCTCTGTTGCGAACGATCTGATCTTTTAGCAAAACACGAATATCTTTTGGGCAGGCAGAACTCGATTGCACACGGATTACCCTTTTAGGAACACAATCGCGTATATTTGTCCAACCACAAAAGAACCCTTCAATTGCTACTCGATCGCATATTAAGTAGACCTCGAAGATTGTCAAATTTATGATTTTACAATTTTCAAATCAAATGTTTGACAGTTTACACCTTAGAAAAAGGATCAACGAATTAATACATTTTTGTTTTATCGTTATATTATAATTTGTCGCATAAGGCTATAATTGAATATCATAATTTAAATGACTATTCAAAATAATCAAACATGGTTAAGTATTGTGTATAAAATGCGTACCTATAAATATGATTAGGTGAACTCGGCATTAATAATTAAAAATAAATATTTCTTTGGAATATAAGTAGTTAATTGTAACAATAACTGTTGTTACGTTAATATCTATAAATATCAGGAAATAATTACTCTGCTTAAAACGATCATTTTACTTGTAGGCCAAAACCGTTTTTTCTAATATTAAGTTTTTATGTTTTAAACATTGTAAAAATATAATAAAAAGCCAAATATTCACATATTATAATTATACTACATTTTTATTGTTCTTAAAATACTAAATGTATTATATATTTTTATAAATAAACTTCCAAAATAATTTTTTTTATGATTTATTATTTTTTACATTGCTATAAATTCGACATTTATAGATAATGCAATGGCTCAAATTAATCATACCATTATAGTTATAATATACTTGGGTTTTAATTATGTTTACTGAAATAAAATGGAAATCATTCTATAAAATCAAAATATTCTTTAATTCCTTTCATGTACCTATGTTTATTTTTATACAGACGATTATTTGAATCATAGGAAAAATAAATATGAAAAATCTTATTGTGTGCACTGTAATTCTACATACGTACACAATAATATAACGTAAACGTGATAACAGGTTTCAAATGTTTATGATCCTTATTCATGCATTCATACTCTGGAATAATGATAATAATAATATTATGTCCATTATTATTATTGTTATCCAGGGCATTATTAAATGTAAACCACCAAGCTGAAAAGAAATAAACGGAAAAAATTCGATGGTAATTATTGTAAAGCTGCTCGAAATTCCCTCTCTAAAAAGCTGGGTATATAAAGGCACATCGTTTACTGAATATACCTATGTCTAATCCCTATAAGTAAATAAAGCGTATGATTGCGAATTTCATTGTATTCGACGCGGTGCGACTATAGTATAGTTATTAGTGGAAAACGCAATTGACCGTTGCGTTTTAATGTTTTTTAATTCGTTTATCTGGTGTTACGTGTAAATGTGTTATGCGAATGCGAATTTCGAGTCTAATTTTAGTATAAAACGTACGGTAAATAGAAAATAATGATTCGATCGTATCAAATTCAATGATACGTGTCACGGTTAAAGTTAAAATAGAAATCACATTTTAAGCCATAACTATAAAATCATTACAATTTAAATTTACGTATTATAATAGACAAACGTTGTAGTAAACGATAAACTATTAAATTATTATTGTTTCTTAACTATAAATTAACGACATTTCTAATTAAGTGTAATCCGTTAAAGTTACCAATTATCTATTAAAATTATATACCTATTACTATATGATAAAACTTTAATTCGAGTTTATAAGGTATTATCTATCTAAACGGAATTATAATTTTGACGCACCTACTAATAACTAATTGATAGAATCCGATGTGCATTAAGATGGTATTTTCAATACAAACAATGTCTACAGCGAAAAATGTTCAATTAAAACAAAAAACCATTTCACAAAAAATCGAGCTTTTCAAATTCTGAAAATCGCGTGGTGAATTTATCGAAAATGCTGTGTTTATACCTCGAAATCGGGAAAAGTAATATTTCATGTACGTTACAAAACCGAAAACATATTTTTAAAACACAATTAGAGAACTGTCGAAATTTTACAGAATATTCAAATCTAATTTTGTCAGGCGTTTAAGTTTAAGTCTAAGAGTAATTGATGATATTTTATTTTGATTCTAATAATTATTATTATAAGTACTGACCGGCTGCGATCACGTGGAAAACGCAAGGCTCTACTTGCTGTCCAGCGGTGTTTGAAGCACGACAAGTGACAGTTCCGTAATCGTTGTCTCCAACGTTGCCTCCATTTCCGTTGCCTCCTCCACCGCCGCCCATTCCCATGGCTGAAGGACTGTATGTAAGCACTGATGATAGTTTGTTGCGTTTGCCGGATGACAAACCGCCACTCACATTTCCGGTTTCGACGCCACCTGTTCTGGTGTGTTGGATCACCTCGTTGCTGCCTATTTCGGATGCCACGCTGCCAGTCCGATTAAAGGTCCATTTGAAAACATCCGGCGCTGGATATGCGTCCACTTCGCACACAATTTCCGTGTTTTCGTTTCGTGCCACTCCATACGTCAACTTTTGGTTGTGCCTGCACACCGGTTTGTCTGCAAACCACCCAAAAAAAACACCATAATTATACACAATATATGATAATTTTTAAATCAAAATAATTTTTAAAAATATCATTAAAATACAATAGTAATTGAATAACTTCGAATTTATTTATTGTTATTAATTTTATATTATTAGTTTAAAAATCACAAATGTAATTATTGATTCATAAAGCTAATAAAGTGCCTAAGTTAAAGTAGTCAAATTTCATGTATCTAGTTCATTGAAAATCAGCAATCGTATAATTATATGTAAATAATACTAACAATAAATTTAATAACAGTTTAAAACGTATGCGATTATGATACTGCGATAAAATTTAATTGTATTTATAATCTAATTGTTATGTTAATTTTAAAATTTAATAGTTAATTTTTAATCCTACTTTAATATTTTCAAGTAGATTAGATTTAATTTTTGAGATATTCATAAAATGTATTAATTAATTAAATTTTAATAAGCATAAAATCAGTTAAGCAAATACATATTATGTATATATTATTTATGTACGTTGAACAGCAACAATTATGTTAATTTATACTAGGCAATTTTGTGATAGGATTTTGTTTACATTACATTTAAAATAATGATTTAGTGTAGGTAGGTATTATAATAACCTTAAATAATGTTATTAAAGTTTAAGTAAAATTGATCATATTTTAAATGTTTGAAAGACATAAAATTGAGTGCAATCATAAGATAAAAACACACTCAATCGAAAACTAATTCCCAAAGGCTATAGTATAATAGATTCTTATAATTCGATAACAGTGTATTAGTATTATATAATTAAAATATTTATGTTAAAAAATATATTTTAAGTGAATTAAGTGAATTGGAATATTCGAATCTCAGAATATATATATATATTTTTTTTTATTGTTACAGCATCAAAATCGTGGTTATTAGCTTAAAATATATATAAACAACACGTTATAAGTCAATTGGAAAATATTTAAGTTTATTATGAAAGGTATAATAATTTTTAGATTGAAATAATAAGATAAAAGTGAAATAAGTTATTAAATTTCCTTATAACTTAAATGTTCTAATATTGTTTGTAATATATCGTATATTGAGTTCTTGAGACTATAATAATAATATTAATAATATATGATATTTTTTAGTACTTTCACTAAGAAAAAATCTTAAATTTAAAAGTTTTGAAGTTTTTTTATACATGTATACGTGTGCTCATAAAATTGATGTTCTATGGTAGACAGACTATACACTATGTATGTGTTGATAATGCGTACAAAGTTTCATTAAAACGCTTTTCTTTTATTGTTAAAACCACAGCGGATAAACCGTGTGTTTATCAGATTACATAAATGACAACTGTCTAATACGGGGTAGTCGGTAGGCAATTTCGCTACATTCTTATAATCAACTGGAACGTGTTGTGAATGGTGCGTGAAGCAAATTGTAAATTGTGGTATAATAATCAATTTATTTTGAATTATTTTTAATGTGGGTACAATATTAAAAATTACGTGTTTAATTTAATAAAAATTTTGCTGTTTTTAAATCGTGTTACATATTATTGGGAAAATTTGTATCGATATTATTAAACGAGCTTAAAATACATTAGTTGAACAGTAATAAGTTGTCATATTATGCAAACGTTTAGTCCAAATTAGTTTTAAATTTTAAACGATTGTAAAATACTATTTGATGACTATATAATGGAAAATCAAGAAGTTTAAAAATAAGTTTAGTTAACTACTGAGAAAATAAACACAATTGTTTATTATTATTATTATTATTTTTTTTTTTATTGAACTTAAGTCCGGCGACTGGGGCCATTAGGTGTTTGTAGGTGTTATGAACTATGGTAAGGGGTAAGGTTAGTACGATAGGTTGTATTTTACGATTGTTACAGTTGATAGCAAACACGTGTATGTGTGGCAAGGCTTTTAACCACTTTGATCCCGAGTGGTCACCCATCTGGGAGCTAGTAGCTGTGGCCGTTACTTACTTTCAGTCGCATTCCGCGACTGATAGCAGCCAACGCGCCACGCCAAGCCATTTATTATTTTTGAATCAATTTAAACCGTATTTTAATATTATCATTATAATATAATGATCCATGCAAGCCTGAATATTGTGGTTAGTCGCGTTTTTAACTAGTTCTTTCGATTTCCGTACACCGTATTATATATTATATTCGTTAGTATTATCATAAATTTCCCTTACACATGACTGTCAGCCGGACGACGTTGCTCTCGCCGTCTCCTTCCACGTTGCTAGCCAAACACGAATAGTTCCCCGCCTGCTGTCTCTTGACGTTTTGAAGTGCCAGGTCCTTTTGATTCATAATCACGCCGCTTTTCACATTTCCTTGGATCACTTGACCCTGTGTCCGGTGAACAGAAAACAAACACGTGTATTCATTACTAAAACGCACTCATTACCCTGAGCTTGTATTCAAGGCACTATCTTTTTCACGTAAAAAATGAATGAATTCAGCGATAGAAACTATACGGAGTAATCAGAAAAATACACATATATGCTTGACATAACACTCGAATGCAACTGTTTTTTTTTTAAATATTTATTTTATTTTATTTTACTCGTGTAAAATATTTCACCACACGAACTTACCTTTTTCCGTATTCTAATAATAATTCTAAAATAATTACATCATTTCTAATATTGTTTATTTTAGATTTGTATACGTTATATTTAGTAATAAACCCTTCAAAATTAAATAATCCACTGTACTAAAGATAACTTACGTATGGTTTCAAATAAATACGTGACCGATAAATTGAGTATAGCAATAAATGAATATGCTGAAATTCAATAATGAAACAGAGAAAACACTGCATAAATTATTAAATTGTTAACAATGATGATTCAATTAAATCATCAAAACGAGTTTAAAATTATACCTACATATCCTGTTATACATTTTTAATGTAATATTACTGACACCAAGATTATTCATTTTCATATAATACTAAATTTTTAAACTCTGTTAATATACTAATATTTGAGAACAGTTTATTTAGTAATGAAGCTTGAATATACAATTGATAGATGTTTGACTAAATTTTTTTGTTTTTTAAGTATTTATTTTATAAATATTAATCAGTCTACATGACAAATCAAGACTTTAAAAACAACAATTTAAAAATAAATTATGTTTTGAGCTGTATTTATTTATTTATTTTTATTTATATTTCTTACTCAGAAATTTAACGATGACAAATTGGATATCAATTACTACTTTTGTGTTTAACCTACATTGCAGATGAGATTTAAGTCTGTGAAAGACATCGACGTACCTCATAATAGGATATCTTATTAAAATATGATGGAAAAAAAATAATTAACTGAAAATATAGTTATAAAAAGTAATTATTAAGATGTTTTGACGTTATAAAACGAGAAAAAAAAATCAACGTGTCTATTACACTGCAGTATAAAATCCAATATTTATGTTGTGGATGGGTGAGATATTTTCAATCAAGAAGTTATCGCGCGCCAGTATTATGCAGTGGGTTTACTTTGTTTATCTCTTCTTTTAAATTAGCAATGCTGGCGGTTATATTAATCAGGCAGGTGACTAAAGAATACAGTACGGTGTATTAAAACCACCCGAGTAACAAGGGCCATGTAATAGACTATGCATAGAAGATAATATTATCGAACCAATAATAGCTGATTATTTATATATATATATATAATATATTGTTTTACGCCCGTTAACTGTATTTGGGCGTCCGTGCGCGTGAGACGACGTAAATTTACGAGTGTCATTTATGTATGTACAAATTTCAAAAGCGCTCAGTCACGTCCTACAACTTTAACTTGTTGATCTTGTGGACAAGAGGTTTCCATCACTAACTGCAGAGTACACAAACGTACACTTTAGATGCAATCGCGAGGTTAAAAGAGTTCAGAGGTGGTGCGTTAGTGGATTTTCTTAAGACGCTCGCTGAGAACTGCAATTATACGGCGATGCTCTTGTGTATCTTTCAACGATGATCATCATTTTATAACATCTCTTCATTAACACCACTGCTATATTTTAAGTGTAAATTAACCCGTACTGCATTTTTTGTATCTAAGTCCCCCTGTGGTTTGGCAACCACACAAAAGACAGATATGAGAATTTTTTTTAATAGTATACAATTTTATTAGGTAATTTCAGGTCGTGATAAACGTCGATACATTTTTTCATATGACTCTGTATTTTAAATTGCATAACTGAATATTTCTTCTAGAGATATTTATATCTTTAAATACGAGTATGTTAAAAATAAACTGGAAATATATTTTAATATGCGTAGATGGTGAAGACAACTCACATTATGCTTCCAAATCACTTTGTACGCTGGTGGATTGGCATCGATCTTGCACTCGAAATACACATCGTCGCCTTCTTCAATATCTGCCGGATTCATGTTGATTCCCAAAGCCAGTTTCAATATTGGTACGTCTGAAACAAATAAGTACTATTTATATAGAAGAATTAAAAAAATAAATAGTATTTTACAAAGAACTCAACAGTCACTGGTTCTGAAAAAAACACATTGAAATACAGTATAGGACATAGGTCAATATCGTATTTTTTTTTTTTTTTGATCCAGCTAGGTCTATACGATTTAAGTATAAAAGTTTAAAATTTATCTAATTAAAATTATTAAAGATAAATTGTAAATTATGTTTAATATATATTACGTTATATTTAATGGACCAAAAGAATCAATACTTGAAATATATTTCATTACGAAAAACACATAAATGTACAACTATAAATAAATATAAATTTAAATCAAGTGGAAATATAATATTTTGTAAAAACTATTGTATATTTAAAATAATGTATTTATATAATTTAATTTCGTCGATATATTCAAATTTGAAATTTGTCTAACCTATCTTAATAGAAAACAGAGAATATTATAATGTTTGCTTATATTATAGAAATAATATTTTTGATTTGACAACTGAAATATAATGAAAATAAACTTTATATTTTTATCTTTTAAGTAAATAACCTGCAGATAATGAAATATTATATTATAATAATGTATTATAATATTTATTTGCTTTTAGTTTTATTAAGTCAATCAACAATATTTTTTTGTTTTTAAATTGGAAAAACGATTTCAATAAAATGTTAATATGTAACTAATATAAACTAATTTAAAATAATTATTGGTTTACATGACAAACTGTGTTATGCTTTAAATTTTTATAGATATAAAATTTAAATAAAAAATATATCTAGAAAAAATAATTTATATATAATAGTTAAAGATATTTATTTTATTTTTGGTAACACATTAATTAAAAAATGATTGTATTTTTAGTTGATTTTGTTGTTTTTAAAATATTTTTGATCTATCAATGCACTTAAGAATAATATGTTTTTACAATAGCCATATTAATTAAGTTACTTACAGTGTACATCAATTGTCCATGAGTCTTCCACTTTACTACCCATCTCCTCTAAGTGTTGTACATTTTGGTTCTCAGCTCGACAGATCAATGATTTACCATTGTCTGATTTTGTTGGTTGGAAAGTTAAAGTGGATGATGTTACATTGCCATCTGGCGATACCTGTTGGATAAATACAAATAAGCTTACTACTAGAATACGTTTTCGATAAAGTTAGTTCAAAAGGAAAGTTTTTCCGTTTCTGAATATTCTTCGATATCCAATTATTAAAGTGTAAAGTTTACATTCTGCTCATAAATAATGCCATTTTAAATAAAGGAATGTATTGGAAACTTAATTAATATTTTTTAAGTTTTTAATAAGATAATTATACTATAGAGTTTAATAAAGTTTTTTGATAGAAAGTTTTTTTTTTAGTAAAATATATAATGCAATTAATATAATCTAATATACTTTTCAAGTATCATTAGTTAAATTGAAAAAAAATAATTATTAATGTTTCAATATATAAACATTTATAGTAAAATAGGTGTATGAATAAAAATTTATTAATTTATCACATTTCATATTTATGATTCAAATAGTGAAGATTAAATGAATTACATTTTACATTTCACACAATTCAAAAATATAAATTTCTAATATCTGCTTCAAATTAGCTCACAGTGATCACATTAATGTTCAATAGGTAACGAATAACGATAAGTTTTGGATTTCTATCGTTACACGAAATACATATTATTTCCGAATTAGCAAATAATTAAATTACATACATTCGAAAATGAAAATACATACAAAACTAATTTAATCAATACGGTTTTATACATAGGAAATAGGATAAGATAGCTGCGTAAGTATAAACTTAGACGTTTAAAAGTTAAAGAATACCAGTCAACTTTGGCTTTAGTTATGATGATACAGTATAATGATTACACTTTAAATTCTGAGCGTAACAATGAATAAGTATATATATATATATATATATATTGATTTTATAAGGAGGAGTGTTTTTTTTGTATATCTGTCATCATTTTCTGGAGTAGTAAAAAAAGCATAGATTTTCAATTTCTTTTTTGGTAAAAAAAAAGTAAACGCAGTGAGTATTTCAAGAGGTTAAAAGTAAAAAAATTGCATTAGTTATTTAATGTTTGGGCAAAAAAAAAAAATTCATCATGACCGAAGAAAAAAATTGAGACAATATAATTTTATTGAATACTAACGTAAAGCTATTAATACAAATATGACTTGATTTAGTACTTAAATTATATTTTATTTTATTTTTACTTTGATTATATTTTACAAATTAACTATGTAGTGGTTTAGTTTTTTTAATTAAAAATAATTAATGAAATAAAATAAATTAAATATATTTTTTTATATTTGTTTTTTTTTTTTTTTTAGGTTTATATTTAAAATGTTAAGAACTTGGTAAAAAACAGTTATTTATGTTTGAGGAGAAAAAAAAATTTAATAATATAAAAATATTTTTCAAGCAACATAAAATGTTTTTAAAATTACTGTATATTATTAATACGAGATTTGTATGTAAACACTAAAAACTATATTTTGTTTTACTTAAGTTGTACGATATTTTGTCATCAAAAAAAAGAAAAGAAAAAAAGTGCCGATGGTAGTATATTATGATAAGATTTTAAAAATATTTGTGTGTCAGTATAAAGTTTAAAATCCAATCCGAAGATAAAATTAAATAGCATCTGCCATCGTGATCATAAATATAAATTGAGTTTATTTTTATATATTAAATTTACAACCTATTCATAATAAACGAATTATTATGATATATTAAAAAACTTTTTAAATAGTTAATATAAAAATCTCCGATCATTTTTTAGTAAATATTTTCAACAAATAATTAAGATGAGTACTTGCAATAAGTTTGAACAAATTATTAAATGCATTAATTTATTGTTCGAATATTTAATAAAAATAAAATTATCAATGAAAACTGATTGCAAAATATAACTTAACAAATCATATTATTCGATGTAATTTTTCCTTTTCATATTCTAGTGAATTGTTTCCAGGTATGTCAGAAATGTGAATATAGTATAAATGTACGGTGTCATATTCTATTTATAATATAACATAATTAAAATATGCTTAGATTTTTAATGTATACTATTTTAGGAATAGCAAAACTAGAAAACAGCAATCTACCTTATATAAAATATACTTAGTAGAATATACGTTAGTACCTATATCGCTAGTAGTATTACGAAAAATGTCTTTGAAAGTTAAAGTTATAATTATTTTTTTTTTATAAATTTACGATCTACCTATAGCGACAAATGAAAATAGTCTATACATTGATGTGTTGCAGAATTTTAATACGCATGTTTTTAAATTTATAAGAATGTTATAATTAACCAGCTGATTGTTATGTTTTTTTTTATTAAACTTAAAGTTTACTACAACCATGTAGGATGTATTTAAATTAATTCAAATGACTTATTTTAAGTATTAACTTTTTACTGAATATCATTTTAATTTTATTATAGATATTATATTAATTAATTATAATTATTAAGTTATCTGTAATAGTAGGTTTCATATTGATTTATTAAATTTTAATACCCTTGTTAAGTTTTTTTTTTTTATGCTACTATTGTTAGTTATATGGTTTATAGTGTAATTTATTATACTATTTCGTTTATTTTTCGATCAATTCATTCAAGATAGTGATTTAATTTTATCTATTATTTAGTTATTTGATTTATAAATATAAAAATTTCTTAACTTGCTGCATAATTAGGTCAGTGTCGTTCTAATTATTTATATAGAAATTTCAAAAAAAATTCTTTGACTATTAGCTTTTTTATACCACGCGTCGGTTATTAATGTATAAATATTTTATGTTCAATTTTAATACATTATCATCTAATTGGTAACCTTATCATTTTTATTATGGGCTCTACCATTAAGTATTGAAATAGTGTTTTTGGCTGAAACTTTAACTGTAAATTGTAATATTCAGTTTTTGTAGAAATATGATTTGTTTAGAGGGATTTAAAAAAAAAAGTGGTGTTGATGTGGAACGTTAGATGTGCTCTTTTGGATTTTTAAATTCTCATATTGCTTTGGACATAATATATTTTGTTATAACATTTCGTATACGGGTTCTTTTAAAAATCGTTAGTGCCGTGGCCTCCTAGCGCAGGTAATAATTTCGGTTGTGTATTAATTATGTGGGTATACAAGAGCAGTGTTTGCAACGTACCCACTTTTAATAATGCATTGCACGCAGATAAGCGCAATTAGATTTTAATTTGTACGTGGTGACGTATTTTACCCTCAAAAAGAAAAACCAAACTTAAAATTACGCATTGTCAACCGATGTTGGATTTCGAGAAATACAATGTCGCTGCTCTCCGGACAAATGAAATAAAAATAATTAAATAAAACGTGGTAGATAGGTTTTATTATTTAGGTCTATTAATATCAGATGACATTTTGGGACAACGCAGTCTCTTATAACGCGAATACCTTTTTTGGTTTTGTTCGGTTTACAAAACGTCACGGTGCTTATCAGTAACCATAGAGTTTACCCGGAAAGGGTCGCTCACCGAACATTTAGTGGTTGTGTCTCAATGCATGAGATGGGGGGAGGGGGTCATAGAAGGGGTAGTTTCCGAGAGGCAAAAGCGTTCACAGATTAGCCAGCGGGCAGGTTGTTGGTGTATGATATTCATTACACGCACATATACATACTCGTACTTTATTGTTGTACTTACGGTCTGCGTAGCGTTGGTCAACCTCTCATTGTCCTTCCACCACGTCACGTTAGCCGGCGGCTTGGAGCCCACCGCCTGACACTGCACTTCGTACGTCCGGCCGGAACTAAGCGGCTGCCTGCTACTGAGCACTTGCACATCTAACGGTTTGACTGTGGGACAAATGAAACAAATAGGTTATTACAAAAGAACATTGTCATACTAGTAATACTATTTTTAATAATAATTTATTACAAGTATACTGATGTTAGAAGGAAATTTCCAAAAATATATAATACATTTTTCAAAAATGTTTGACTCAATTTTCATTTTTGATAACGAGGTATCAATACTACTAAGTTCATATTTAAATTATCTCGTTTTGGAAATTTCTGAAAATGTTTCTTATTTTTTTCGAACATTTCTAAAAACAATTCAAAAATTTAACATCACGATACATAATTAATGATATTTTAATTTAACGCAATGCAGGCTATCATTACGATAGTTATATAATATGCCTATTATTATTTATTAAGGCGTTTAACAAAAGTTATTAATTAAACATTTAGACAATATATTGATGACGGTGTATTTGTAGAAAATGTGTTTCGTTTAAGTTCGATTCGGGATTAAATAGTGATTATTTAATATTACGAGAGTAGCGTGATGTAGTGCAATATTAGTTTTGAATTTGTTTTGTTATTATTTGTCTTTGGACCAGCTAGTGATCTCAAAGTTTCATTTAAACGTAATCTATCTATCGATTGGGAATTTAGTCAAATAACCAATATTCAGTAAATAGTAATCCATTGGAGAAATCGTATTATGATTTCATCAGTATATGTATATTATATATTATAAATAAAGTACTTGCCTAAAGGTGTTATCCAAACAAAAAATGAATATATATAGTATATATAAGCAATACAATATAAAATACACAAAATGTGATTGCGGGAGGGAGCAACCAGATAACATAATAGATGATTATGATATTTAAACTCGGAGACATGTACATAAAAATATATAATAAATGCAATACACATGGCTATAAGCTAGGCCTATCAATAGTAAATAATAAAATAAATATCTATATTACCATTTTATATAGAAATGATATATATATATATATATATTTAATCTGTATAGGAAAGTGTAAAACAATAAATTTAATGTGTTATAAAAAAATTGAACATAAGATTCCAAATAAAAAACAATTAATCTTTTAAAATTATTAATATTTAAGTAGTTGGACGTACATTTTTACTAAATATCTTTGTTAGTATAAGTCAAAAACTGAAGTTTTCGATTTATTTTCAATACAACATATTTTTGTTCGTAAATCCAACTTTGATGCAAAACACAATTTCGATTTTCACTGTGCATTATGTAAAACAAAATTACAATGGTTTTGTATGATCTTATTTTTCACTTTGTTTTTTTTTCTGAATCATATACAACCGTTCATTTTTTATTTAAATATTCAAATATTTACCAATTTGATTTTTAAAAGTATTGATCTTTGAATAGAATCTGTATGTAATAAAATTTAAATATAGTTGAATTTAGTATATTAATTTAAGGTAACTGCTCAAAGTTTAAAACCAATATTAATTGTGAAAGCTTTGGTTGGGTTATTAATCATTGATTACTTATTTAAACTCATGGACACACAATATTTAAAACATAAATAGAAGTTTGAAATTTGAAACATATAATTTACATTTTTTAAAGAAAATTAATGGTTAAAATTCGTACTAGTTCCTTTAATCAATAATATTATTATTAAATATATTAGTATAATAACTATAAAAAATATACTATAACTTATCTCAATCATCTCAATCATATGGGTATTATTTTAAACCAAAATTTTAATCATGTATATAAAAATATATAAGCGACTTAAAATTTAACACCTTTATTAATTAAATTTATTTAAGTATTTTTCTGTCAGTAAACATTATATTATTTTAGAAATCACTGATATGTATATAAATAAATAAGAAATAAATATTTAAAATCTATAATATAATACATAAAAAAGTTAAAATGTACATAAAACATTATATTTTTAAACTAAGTAATTAAATAATATTTAAATTTAGCAAGGCTGAGAGAATATTAAATATTTTAGTGATATTCACATGAAACTCTCAAACCTTTGCTTATAATTATAAATGTATGACTTTTCTAATAATGTGATACTAAAATTATAATAATTAATAAACAAGCACTGAAATATTTATAAAAAAAACCAATTATTTATAGGTTAAATGCTATTCAAAAAGTAAATATGAAAAATATTAAATTAATTGGTAGACTATATTTTGAATACATTAATTAAGTTTAAAATTTAGTTAATTATTACCAGAGATTATTTAATTAGTTATTTGATAAATAAAATTAAGGAAATTGTAAATATTAAAAAATACCATATGTGTTAAAATGTATAATTAATAAAATATATTGCAACAGTGCATTAAATGTAAAATGAAAATAATATACCTAAAATCTATATAGGTGGTATTTTAATTATAAATTTAAATTGAATTTGATATAATCGATAGTTGTACAGATAAGTATTAGCTATGAATATTTTATTTATTTCCAGGCTCATAGTTAATGTAGACGTACATAAAATGTTCATTTTATATTATTTTTTAACCTTTTACAATAATAAAATTGTTATCATAGAATCTAGTTTTCTGAAAGTATTTTATCTTTCTATGAAACTATACATGGTAAATAAATATTATAATTCCAAACTAACCTAATTATGAATATTAGAAAATATATTATAAGTTAAGTTAATAAAAATGCTGACTAATTATATAAGCTAAAAAACTAAAATGAATATAACCTTTTGCATAACAACTCGCTAATTTCGATTGAATTGAATTAAATAATTATATTCACTTAATTTTAGATGTCCATAAATATGTATGTTCTTTTATATATATATATATATATAATTTTATTTAAGTTAAATGGAAAAAAAAAAACAATAAACTCATTAATATTTTAATAATACATTATTGTAATTAAATATTAAAAATTATTATGTGCACTTTATACTTATATTTATATTTAAGTTTAAGAAAGTACCAATTTATTAGTATACATATTTCTAAAATTGTTATAAGTATTAAAATAAAGAATACAAAATTTTAAATGATTGGCTTGTAATAATTATTAATTGTACTATGTAATTTACTAATGTAGAATAATAAAATTAAAAAACATTAAAAATTGAATCCCTATTTATTTTTAAACATCATTCTATGAATAGTAGATACTTGATACTGCATGTGTAATGTGCATAATATAATTCTTAAAAAATTTCTTTGTAAATAAATGACCTATTGACATTGACATTATTTTATGGATATTTTGTAATTTCAAAAATGTTATCCTAATACAAAGATAGTAAATTAGTATTAACAATTCAAAATGTGATCTACATAAAAAAAAAAAAAAAATGTAAAATGTATAAATCATTTAAATTATTTATTAGATCAAATATTTTTAATAAAATACGTGGATCGAAAATTATATAAATGAATTTCTGTGATAAATATTTCATTAAAAAAAAATGATACATGCCTATAATATGCATACTCCAAGCTATAATATTTTAACATACTCAATTTTGTACATTATAATGTTAAAACAAAATTCTGTTATGATTATGTCAATTTTAATATTCTATCGAGATTTTTGAAAAAAATTAATACAACTTTTTTACTTTACAGTATGTTTTTTATTATTCTAATGAAAAATGTAATTCACTTTGGAAACTTACAAATATCATAACACATTTTTGCAAATCGAATGTAAAAAATTAATTTTTGATATTTATCGAAAATATATTTTAAAGAATATAAATTTCAATCGAGTTTACTGCGTGTTAGTTTTAAAAACAATTTGATTCAGGAAACATCAAAAAAGAGTTTCAAATTATGAAAAAATTACGTAATGGATTTGGAACAACAGTTATAGAATAATATTTCATCATCAATATTTATTTTAAACGCATTTATTGACACGTTTATGTATATATATATAATATACAAGCGCACCTAATGCACAATGTATGAATTCATGTACCAGATAGATTTCATTTTTTATTAGAACTTGGCTATAAGTGTAATATGTCAAAAATTATTGGCAATCATATGATTTATTTTAACAGTTGGATAATAAATTTGTTTTATTCATATTTTTACTGTAGCTTATTCAAATACACATATATATACATATATATATATATTGGAAATTTAAAGATAATATTTAAAATATTTAAAATAAATAATATCACTATAAACTTAGAATAATTAACTATTATCAATAATTCTCTATTTTGTTGTATAAATCATATTTATATAGTATCATAATAAACAGTAAAAATCTAATTATTATAATTATGTGATTACAATTTTATTATTATTCAAAATACAAATTAACAACTAATAGACGTTTAAAATTTAGTGGCTATAAAATCATATAAAATTACACAATTAAATTAAAAATATTCAAAAACATTGTATGTGTGAACAGTAATGCTGGCATATTATAGACAAATATAGCCATTGACATTAATTTTCATGAGATCAAAAACTCTTAAGAAGTATCTGGCATGGAAGCTGTGTATATTGCTAGAATTATCTGGTACTAATTATTTTTATACTGAACTTAGTATACTACCTATACCTAGTTTAAATCTGATTTTTGACAACGTCAATAATGTGAAAAGCAATTTTCTTCGAAAATGGTGTATTTTTCTTTTCTATTAAAACCTTTTAAGGAATTCCAGGAGAGACTGATATCGAGTTAATTAAAGTTAACGGATCAGACAATGGGGCTTTTAAATTGGAGCTTAAAAAAAAAAAACGGGGGAAAAAAAGTAGTAATCACTGATACGTGGCATTGAAAGTTTGTTTACCGTCAATGGTGAAAAGTTTTTTCCAATTCAATTTTGATCCAAAAACTGTTAAAACTCATGTTTATTGGTTATTCACTTATTTGACGTAAAATAAAATCAACTTTTCAAACATATTAAATAAATATTTTTCCTTAGTTGATAAATAAACATATACATAAAGTAATTAATATATATTTATCTATATTAATAAAGACAATATTTATGTGTATGTGTGTGTATTTGTTT